ACTCATCCAGCATTATCCTCAGGGCGAGGGACTTAGGTCTAGTCAGATGGGGCTACTTGGATAAAATAAGAAAGCTATGATGTTGGCGAGGGATGGCAAAGACAGAATATGGAAGGCCAAAAAGTGGCACTTGGAGACCTTACGAAGGGAGAGAACATGGGGTTCTAAATCCCGGGCCTTGAGTCATGGCTTATTTCTGAAAGCTTATAGTAGCATTGTGTCTGTTGGCTAGCTCTGGTTTCCACCTGCTGGGTATTTTATACTACTTCTCTCCAGTTCCTGTTGGTTTTGAATAGCTTCCTTAACATCATCCCAGCTGCCATCAGCCAACCAACAAGCTTGCAAATCCAAGTCGCGCAGGGTCTCCGAGTGTCGGGCAACCAAGGACTTCAGCTCCATCACTGTAAAAGGTTGGTTATGCAGGCTTAGAGACCGAAGCCGCGGCCACGAAAGGTTGGCTGGCAGGATATCATCCAAGGAAACAGTTGGCCGCATGTTGAGCGGAGGATAACCAATAAACTCAACGTGTATATCCTCAAGATGAGGTGCGCTCATCCATGACTGGGTGATAGAGCAGAGTGCAAGCATTTCGTGTTTAGGATTGTTCTTGAGTTCATAGCTCCGCGCCTGAAAATCCACATACAGTGCTAGTTTCGTGGTTTGGGCAACCAGTTTCTTTACTCTCGACTGTTGCGATGGTGACAGTTGCCAGGCTTGCATGCTAGGTGGAGGAACCAAACGGAGACGAATTATTCCAGGTCTCAGACCTTTGTCTGCAAGCTCGGAGCACAATGTCCCAATCATCTCAACCGGTGGAGTCGCAGTATGGATCGTCTTGAAGGAGCCACACCATCTTGACTTGCGCAAGATAGGGCTGAAGTGCTGCAGTATTGTGTGGTCGTATCCAGTATGAGCAAAGTCAGAAGCATCCAAATGTTCCATGCCTCCCATATTTCTTATATCGTTTAGCTCAAAGGATACCATGTTGGACAAGGAACTCAGAGCGGCGCATAGCCGGGTGATGTGGCTTCGGCCTTCTCGAAGCTTCTGCTGGTCATTGTACAATTCCTTGTACATATCATAAAGCTTGAGAAATAGCCTTTGGGTGGGCGTTGGTGATTCTTCGTCAACTTGGTCACTGAAAAGTTGCTCGAATTCAGGCTCTGTCCTCCAAGCCATATTTGACAGCCACCGGGATTGTTCTTGCGTGTGAGGATACTTATTCCGGTATGATCTCGACCTCTCCATGGTCTCTACATGTCGAAGCAGTCTGGCTTTGGCCTCGAGCATGAACAGTGGCCTGTTGCAGGCTAATTCGGCTTCGTAGTAGGACGTGACTATGCGGACGCTTTGCACTGACTTGCTGAAAATAGGGTGGTTGCAAATATGCTTTAAACGATCAAAGGATTCCGAGGTAAGGCAAACAGAAACTTGGGTGAGCAGCAATGGCGATGCAGCATTGTTGAAGCAATGTGAAACTAAGCGACACTCTTTTATCGAGCGTTGCCCATTTTTCTCATTGCGCACAAAGAAGAAAATATCCCTCAGAACTTCTGAAGGGAGAGATTGAATGTCTGTTGCGAATGACATTTTTGATAAAGTTGCAGGAGTGAGATTCTAGTAGAGGGAAATAGATGTAAAGTAGCCATTATGTCTGTTATAAGCTGCGGGGTCAAGGATCAACATAAGACTCAATGATTGGTTGATTTGAATTGGGGCAAGAGCTTACATGAGTCACTTCACCGTGTTTGCTACTACAGATCAAACAAATACAGGGTTTTTAGTCGTGTCTATTAAGCATACATTACAGACTAATACGTATTTCTAAATTATTGACAGGTCTTGGTGGAGGCATATTATAAATAATTGCATTGTACTGTATTCCCCTTTGATATAACAGACAAACCCATCCTCGTTCGATATCTCCAGAACGTATTAAAATGACGTCAGACATGGAACCTGGATTCCTATTGCAACATCACATCAATCATGTATTCCCATGATAAACTTACTAGAACCCCCCTGCACCTTTCATTTTCATTGCCATGCCATAAACACCTTTGACCAATCCCATAACAGTCCCTGGGTTTCCCATGTATCCTTTTCCAGGCTTCCCCTCAGCATCCCTCCAAATGCCATCTTCAGCAACCCTACCAAACCTCTTTGTGTTCTGGTTTCTGTCAATACATTCTCTCCATTTCTGACATATCTCCACGCTATCTACCATTAGATTAATCTCCTGGCTGTGAAACCAAGATTGGGTGTCTTGATTACCACTTCCTTGAATTCCGACACTGCCATCGACGATCAAAAGCTTAATATGACAGGAGCGAGCTTTGAAAGAGTGGTGAATGGGATGGTCTTGGTCCTTTCCAACGTAGTTGTATATGTGCAAGAGTTTGCGTTCAGGGCTATCTTTGCCGAGGGACGAGACGAGATTTTGGGCGATTTGGTCATTTGTTCCGCCTTGCCCAGGGATCATTTCTCCCGGATCGTTGTAGCCAAAACATACATAATATGTGACTTCCACTCCTCGACCCAATGCTTCTTTGAGTGCTGGAATCAATGGGGCAGCGTTTAGATCTGGCGTCTGAATGAAGATATTGTGTTTGGCATTCCTGATCAACGATAGCCATGCTTCGTTTTGAGGCACGTGGACGCTTTTTGAGTCCATGGCCCCATATGGTGGCCGAGATACAAGTGCCATCGGAACTGGCTTCCCATCGCCGATGGTAGAGATGTATGGAGTCATTTCGTCTCCCGCGTCAATTTCCGGTCCTGTAGGCTCAATTGGATGCTCAACTGCCAGATTGAGCTGACGATTTGCTGCCTGAAGACGTGATTCTCCCTCTTTCAGTGCGTAACATGACTGCATGCGCCTGACCTCTCCCTCTATGTCATTGTCGTAGTGAGGGCGATCGGGAAAATGCTCCGGTAGGGGTTGTTCATTGTCAGCTTGTATGGTAGTAAAGTCCTGAAGATGTGAGGCATGGCTTTCTGTCGTAGTGGAACTATCGGTTGTGGTATGCAATCTGCCCTCAGCTTCTGGTGTCTGGAGACATGGAGGGTCTGGGTGAAGAGCATTTTGCCAAGTTATCAGAGCAGTGTCGTATATGCTATCGACTATTGGTCCTTCAACATGGACCATCATCTCGAGGTTATCGTTGTCTTCGGTGTTGTTACTCATAACAGCAGCAATTTTGCGGTCCACGACGCAGAACTTGGCGTGCAGAGTACCCAAGAATATTCGATGCAAGCTGACCACCTCCAAGTCGACGTTTGGAATCTGCTCGGGCGAAGGCAAGTCGATCGTCTTGGAGGTGTATGACTTTTGTTTGACGAACTGATGCGGGTTTATAGCGTTGCATGGTCCTGGCTTGTCATACATGATCTTAGCCACCACTCGTCTCCCACCCTTTCCAGCTCGCTTCGAGAGTTCGATCAGAGACACCTTAATTAGAGCTTGCGCTACTGACGGTGCCCAGGAGCATGTAATGAAGAAAACTTCCTTCTCAGCCCGGACAATAAGATTCGAACAGTGGCGCATGACATCGGCAAGGGGAGCAATGACTGTGAGAGGCATAGTTCCATGAGAACCCATTAATGGCGGCGACACGACACCTGCCATTGGGTCTTCATTCAGGCATTGTAGAGAGTCGGCGAAGGCTTGGAGAAATAACGGACTTGGGGTCGTCGGGCCCCAACGACCGCATTGGAGGGCTGCTTCGATGGCACCTTGGCTTTTCTCCGTGCCTTCTTTGGCTGAGATTTTGTGATGCAGTCCGTGCTCGTGATGACCGTATAGCTTTTTGATAGCATTTCCTGGTGTCTCGCTTGGATCGCTTGCCAAGACGGAGCTCACCGTTTCTTTCCCTTGGCATAAGTCGTAGACGTGTTGCGAAACCATTTCCGGAGTTGATATTTTTTGACATGAGAACAAATGGCAGAGTCATTCACTGATGGCCACAGTCTCGTCAGAACTATTTATCTAGCCCAATTGTACAAACGTCATTTGGTCAAGGTTGCACACTTCTCCAAGCTATACTTCCCGTTTCTTACCCAACTTTTGGTTTATTCCCTGGCTAGTGGAGGTGACATCGCCTAGGCTTACGTACCTTTGCGCAGAATTCCTGATTTAAATGGGCATGTAGTACCTTGGAAAAAGAGCTCTTGGCTGTATGACAGCATGTAGCTTCTGCTCCGCCGCAAAGGTCTAGTTCAAAGCTAAACCCGGGATTGCGTGCCGAGACTAGTTACGGCACACAACTTCCGGCCGGGTTAACCGGAAATACAGCGAAGAATGGTCATGGCCACTCGGCATGTCATTATGTTGAATGTCGACATCAGAGTTGCGGTTTTGTTATTGGCGATTGAGACAGTATGAAAGGGGACATATCATATTGTGTATTACATAAAATAACACCATTTTAGGGATGATAGTTCCCACGTATAGGTTTGAGATATCACTGCACCAGACGCAATCTGTGTCATGATTGGCAACCGCAACTTTGGATCCACAACCCGGCATTACAGTTTTTCCGTCTCTAAATAATCAAATCCAAAAAGCGTAGATTGAGTCAGCTCTGTGGGGCTGGGATTGTTGATCCTATTCGCTACTGAATAATTCTGGATTGGCTTTGCTTTCTCTGTCAGACTACAGCCAATTGTTACGTCTCGCTTAAAGTGAATGGGGCCACTTAGCGTGGCGAATTCTGGTGGTTTTCCTTTTAGACCTACCCGGTATTGCAACACAAGTTGTTGAAATGCAAGCTTCATGCATTGCAAATAATGAAATTCAATGTTTAAGAATCTCAAGAGGCGAACTTTTATCTTTGATTATATTCCTAAAGATATACAGAGTCAGTCCACTCTGTAACCTGTGTTTTTTGCGCAGGTCTGCTTTCGTATACCACTTCAAAAACTCTCAACTAGCGTCATCCCAGTTTGTCAACTCTTAACAGTCGCGCTACTGTAATTAATGAACAGCATTTAAACTAAATCTATATAATTGATGTCCATAGTGATGTATCCAAGTCCCAAAGCATCGGAACTGGATAAGGCATTGTCTGCTCGAAAGCATCCAGATTGAACTCAAACATGTTGTCAGTATGGTGTGTTTGATGACTTTCTTGCTGGTTGGCATTCGAGGTAGGTTGAAGAGCAGGAGATTCTACATCAGTAGAACCAACCAGTTGTGCATTTAAAGATTGTACGGCGTAGTGAGCCTTTCTGTATAGTTCTTGGCAGACCTTTTGGACTTGGGTGAGGTATGTATTGCCGCCATATGCCTCGTCTAGTATTTTGAAGATCTGCATGACGTCACCGACTAAGCGCATGTCATTCGCCGCAGCCTCGTTCACGGGGTTCCGAATTGCCATGATGCAGAGAATAACAACAGCGCTCATAGGTATTGGAATAATGTCCCTTCAGCCAATTAGTCACTGATCAAAGCCGTGGCCTTATAGAACTTACCAGTGGAAGCTCTTCCATGTGACTGGTATAAGCTTGCTTAGCTGAATGATGCATCGGGACGCGTTGAGGCAATTTCCTATGGAGTCTCTCATTTTCGCAGGGAGGACTGATAATTCCGGGTGATTCGGCGATACCCAATAAGTCAAGCTGTGCGCGCGGCTCACAACGATGACGGCATTGTAGTAGGAAAAGTACAACCGCATCAACCCATGATGCTCGCACTTCCCAGCAGAATCATGAGTGAGAGACGATGCAAACTCAGTACGCCAATTCTCCAGCTTCTGTAGCAAGTCTGCCACTGAGTCCACTATGCCATTCGTTGGACCTTTGCCTGAATGTAGACCTTGGTAAATCGCGCTCTGAATCACAGCAAGTTGTATCTGACCTTTGAAGAGGTTTAGTTCATGCCCCTCAACAGTCTTGATGATTTCCGTTTCATCCAAGGAGCTCATTGGTGGGTCAATGTAGGCAGCATTGAGATCGTGACAAGGGGGCCTTCCAGTTCGCAGGCACAGTTCCCGGTCTAGACAAATTGCGATCCAAAAGACCTTCTTTCTCATACTTCCTTCTGCTGGACTTACAGACGGGTCCTGGCTCTCGACATGTATGCCTATTGAGTGTGCAAGACGCACAGCGCAACCAACGAGCATGAAGCTGGGCTGTGGGTTTGGTGTTCCGATAAAGAACCAGGCAATGGCTAGCAGAGCTTGGACAGAAGACAATTGTGTACTACGCATAAGAACATCCCATGTCCCGGCAAGTGCATTTGATGCATAGGCCCAGGCTAGATCCTCTGCTTCTACCGATTGAGCTGCCTCCGCCCGACGACGCTGTGCGAGTGCAAGAACAGAGTTGAGCGAGACCCACCACGCTGGACTCTCAGTGCATGTGCCCGAGTACTGTTGGCCTAGGAGACACATAAATGCTGGTGCATTGAAGCACGGGAAGACTGGGTGTTCATGAGTGAAGAATTCGCTGACAAGAGAGAATGCCTCAGTCCAAGAGGGAAGAGGCCTCATGACCCGCTTTGTGAATAGAGGCTCGATAGACGGGTGTGTCCATTTGGACCAGGATTCTGGTGTATGCTGTCCTGATTTGCGTGGAGTAGCGGTGGACACCAGGGATATACCCGATGGCGGACCTGTCGATATATTGAATAAGCTCATGAACAATGAAGTAACTATGAAAACCTACCAAAGTAGCGCATATCTTCATTACCACCAACTATAGTGTCCCTAGGGCTTGTATCTGTCGCTGTCAAGGTCTGACAGGGGCTTGGCGCTGTGAAGCTGTGAAGCTCATGATTGGCTTCAATATGTTGCTGAGGATGAGGGACCGTTCGGACGACTACAGAGTCTGACAATAAGGTTGAAGAAGCATTGACTCCTTGAAGACAAACTCCTTCAATTGCATCACCTGTCGAGCTTCGAGATGATATTTTAGATCGCCGTTGACGCGGGTCGGGCTTGTCAACATCTGCATAGTGGCAGTCATTCCCGCAACCCCGACAACGTCCACAAACTGGCCGGGTCCCGTCACATCGGACTTTGCCTTTCCGACAATGATCGCATGCCTAGCACCGCGGAATTAGTCAACAATCTTTCTCTCCCATGACGTAGCGAATGATGGGTACCTTTGCAAGGCGACGTCGACGGTCGCCGCGGTTGTTCATTTTCCGGAGTTTAGAAGTCCATAAACGAGAATTCCGGTCCATGAGGGATGGAATACCCATTTTACGACCCATGACCACTGTGAACTTTAATTCTGATAGGGCTTGTTTTGTGCCTCGGCTTCTGTTCGTTAGTGCGCAAAACTCCGAGACTTTCGTGTCATAGCGTACCAAAACTCCGGCCGGGCCCACCAAACGGGACAAGGGAATTCCTGTATGTGAATTTCCATTACATAGATCTAATGTGTAAGAGAACCGTGGGCGGGCGAAGAAAATGAGACGATTTATATTCATGCACCTAGGAAGAGTCCGCAAGTAAGCGAAATCTGGAATGGGTGTAGCGCAAGACCATGTCGAGATGGTATCAGATAATGTGTATTGCTAGGGTCTAGATGTGGCTGCGTTGCAAGATAGAGACAGGCGCCTCAACAACCTTATCCCTAAAGTAATCAATAAAACCCTTTCCGAAGCCATCCAATCGCTTTGAGCTACTGACTCCACGGCCGAGGATACCATATACAACAAAGTGCACAGCAAAGATCTTGGGAAACTCAACACGCTCAATGGAAAACTCTTGACGCCAGTCTTCTCCCAAAAGCTCCTGTACCTTGGCTCGAGACATGTACGAGCGCAGCCAGTCCCACTTGGCCTGTGTGTCAACAAATAACCCAAAGTTCAAATTGGCGCCCTTGTCCCCGGAACGGCCGAGGGCGATACTGCCCAATCGCACTTCGAGAACTCCTCCATCAAGAGGGGCTGGTGATTTGGTGTCATAAGAAGCCCTTTCTTCCATGATCTCAAACCGAGGAGGAGATGTAGTATTGAAAGATTTCGTGGTGCCAGTTCCGTCTACAAAATGGAACTTCTCTTCAAGTTTAGCTTGGGGCCAAAGAGCTGGATAATATGCCAGATATGGACGAGGCATAGCAGAGCGGAAGTCCAAAGAGCTGTGGAATCCTACGTGCAAGTTAGTAACCATGAAACTATTTCGACTCGCCGGATAGGCTAACCTGAGTAATGCCTCAGTGAGATGTTTCCAATGGCCATCATAATTGCCTGAAGAGCTTCGGCCTTGGTTGACTGAGCGAAAATGCGGAGATACACGGTACCGCTGTTTTGGTTGGCAGGGTTCACAGCTGGAACGCCAATCCTCTGAAACTCGAGAAAGTCGAGGTGACTGAGCTTCTCTTCACCAAGATGAAATCGCACTTGCTTTTCAAGAAGGGCAAACTTTTGCTCAAAGTTGTGACCCGTTGCGTTGAACAGGGCCTGCATTTCGTAGCCTCCTTTGTAAAAGAGCGCGAGCTTCGTGGTATCTGGTGGTGGCGCGCCGCGAACTCCGTGAACACGAACTCTTTAATCAAGTTAGCGACGCTGGCACGATTCGGGATATCGCATACCTGTCTTGACCAAGTTGTTCCATCTCAATATCTTCGAGGTAGGCTTTCACATCACTATTGATATACACATCGCCCTGCAACTCATACACGAGTTGAGACTTGCACGTATCAACAGTGACCATACCGCCTGTGCCCTCATGCTTCGTGATGACACAAGAGCCGTCTTGCGCAATCTCAGCAATCGGGAAACCCGGGTCAACAAAGCTCTCAAGATCAAAAGCGTCGAAGCCTGCAAAGTTACCGCCGGAGACATAGGCTGAGCACTCAATCAAGTGTCCTGCGACCAAGGCACCAGCCAGTTCATTGTAGTGGGTGATGCTCCACGACCACCAGTACCATGCGCAGGCGATGACGGGGCTGGCATCAGAAGCTCGGCCGCATATGATGATGTCGGCACCGTGTTGAAATGCTTCATAGATGGCGTGGGCACCGAGATAAGCATTGGCAGACACTATTTCACGAGGTTCGCCACCACTTTTGGCGAATATGTACGTCTCGGGAGTGAGAGTGACATGATCGTTCAAAGAATCAAGATGAGCCAGTGCGTTTTCTCGGTTTTGCGGCATGTGTTTGCCGAGCTTGGGAAGCACGTTGTCACCGGAAACATAGGCTACCCTGAGATCGTAGCCTTTCTCGGCAACCTGGCAACAGTTTAGACTAAGACATTAATAAAAAGGCTACAGGAAAGTCGCACCAAAGCTGCTACTTTCACAGCTAGACCTTCAGGATTGAGTGCTCCACCGTTGATGGCAACTTTGATCCGCTTCTTTGAGATAGCATCGATCGAAAGTTCAAGCCCTTTTAATGCGGTAGCCTCGTAACCCGGATGTTGTCCTTTCGCATATGCCTCCGCGTTATTGGCCATGTTGACCTCTAATTCTTGTAAGCAACGCAGGCTATCCAAGTTTCGAGACCACAAGACTTACCAGCAAGGTAGTCACCGGTGATGAAGTCGACATCTCCCAGCGTAGCCTGCTTATACATCTCAATGGCGGGATCTCCTACGTAATCAACGGTCAGAGATATCTCGGCTATGTGTGACTTGTCGTACCATGGTAACCGGAACAATTAGCCACTCGTACAGGCCTGGTGCCGAATTCTCCAGCGCGCCATTCGTTGTTAGAAGCCATGATGAATTGTGTCTCTGAATCACTTGCGCAAGGAAGTATGGTGTAGTGTGTTATGTTGCCACCAAGGCCTGCTCGAAGGGGGAGGGTTGAGAGGCGTTGACTATAAGCGATCTTTATATCACCCCGCAATTTCGGATGCTACAATTCGCAAGTCTCATACCCGAGACAACCGACAATCAGTACTCCGTACTTGAGTATGTCAGTCACTTTTTTCTATCAGTATTTAGCGACGTCATTGTTCCTGCGTTTTAGTTAGCCGTGTTCCGAAGCCGCTATCAGAACTCCGGCGCAAGACTCCGGGAGTCGAATTAAGCCCAAAAACTCCGGAGGGACCCGCTAAGCGTTGCAAAGACATCATTGACTTGAAAGACAGTGGAATATGTTCGGTTTCAGTTTGCCGAGAGGGTTACTTAAATCCCCGGTTGTAACGTTGAATGTAACATTCATTGACAACATCTGTTTTGTTGACCTGCATCAACCTTGAGTTTACTAAACCTTGTACAACGTCCTTCCCCAGAAACCGCTGCTCACTCATCAACAACATGTCGAATTACTCCATTCTCACCGAAGCTACTCGAATTCTGAACAAAATTCTCCTTCAGGATCCCAGATTACAGCTTCCAGACTCTTTCGTCAAAGCCGCTGAGAAAGTCAAGTTTGTTGGAGAAGACGACCAACCTTTCATCCTCACACCTCTCAAGATCACCGAGTCGAGCGCGGCCCTCAATGCCCTCGTGGCTACAGCTGCAAATGTGGTCGCAGCCGAGCGCTATGGCATCAACTACCAGAATGTTGAAATCAACACGGACCTTGCAACGCTTTTTCTTGAATCAGTGCTACTACCCACCATCGGTGGCAAGCACTTTACGCAGAACACCAAAATGCTGACAGAGCTTGCCAAGATGGACCTCCATCAGATGAGCAAGCCAGTCAGGCGATATGCGACAAATGTGTATCGCACCAAGGATGGAAGATGGTATCACCTGCATGGATCTATGAATGCTTTGCCTACAATGGAGATGTTGGGTGTCGAGGACAGTGACATTAGCACTGAAGAAGCCTTCGAGACCTATGTGAAAAAGGTTGCTCAATGGGACTCCAGCGATATTGAGAAAGTCGCAAATGAAAAGTACAAGCAAGCTGGCGTGATTTGCTATACGCCCGATGAGTTCTTCGCCAGCGAGCATGGTAAAATCATGTCGGAAGAACCCTTATGGACATCGACTCGCGTCCCAGCACCGAAGAAATCATGGCCTGAGGCCAAAGACAGTCGGAGCTATAGTCCGCTCGCCGGCATCAGAGTCTTGGACTTATCTCGTGTCATCGCAGCTCCAGCAGTATCGAAGATCCTCAGTGTTCTCGGCGCCGATGTCATTCGTGTCTCGTGCAGCAGATTACCAGAGTATGCGGCAACAATGCCGGATCTTCAGACTGGCAAGAGAGACGTTGACATCGATCTTAAGACAACTGAGGGACGAAGAACACTTTCTGAGCTTATCAAAGACGCTGATATACTTGTTGATGGATACCGCCCTGGTGCCTTGGCGAAGCTGGGCTTTGACTCCAAGTCCTTGCGTGAGTTGAGCCCAAGTCTGATCTATATGAGGGAGAATTGCTATGGTTTCAAAGGGCCGCTGTCGTACCGCTCTGGATGGCAGCAGATTAGCGATTGTTTAGTTGGACTATCATATTTACAGGGCAAATTTCTTGGTCTCGACGAGGCCGTTGTTCCACTTTTCCGTAAGTTCACCGTCTTATCAAATCTCATGACTCCATTTCTGACATTTCCCCAGCCAACTCGGACTATCAGACTGGATTAGTTGGAGCCGCGGCTGCCATCCAAGCATTATTAGCCCGAACCCAAGAAGACGTCACCTTCGACATCGACATCAGCCTCACGCAGTACAACATCTGGTATTATCGTCTCGGATCGTACACCGAGGACCAGCAAAAGGCTCTTAGAAGCCGTGACCTGCAGTTCAGCCCTCGCCATTTCGATGATATGAGTGCGCTCGTTGGAAAGACACATCAGTCGTTGCAAAAGATTCGTCCCGAGATATTTAAGCACCCCGAGTACTTCTGGGACATGAGTGGCAAGGAATACGGATTGGATGAGGACTTCAAAGTGCTGGCACCTGCATTCAAGTTTGAGAAGTCGAGTATTGGTTGGGATGTCCCGACCGGACGAAGAGGGCGGTCGAAGGCCGAGTGGGTAGCATGAGTGTGCCTGGCGCTAGAGAGATGTTTGGATATCACGAGCGTCCTTGAGAGACGATACAGTAGATTGGATAGAATTAGGGAACATATCGGTGCTGAGATGGCCGAGAGTCATGCACTTGTGACTCCGTCGGAGTGGTTATCAAGACAAAATATAAGACCCGCGGGCCCCGATCTGCAGCCTGCCAATTCGAGACTACACAGATTCTACCAATGAATGCTCATATTGTTACCAAGAGTCCTCGAGTTATGAAACGGAGCCTCGGGCAAGGTCAGGATGATTCATGTGGATCGCCACCTGGACCATGGCGCCACTCAAGCCAACCGAGGCTCCGCGTGAAACTGTGAGATTAGACTGAAAAAGGCAAAGTGAAGACAGAGGCTCTTGAAACGACTTCCTTATGAGTACTAGACTATAAAGATTGCGGGGTATCAAAGCGCCGTTGATTTGCTCCTCCTCAATTGAGTTAGTCATTTAGTAAAGTATATCTACCTCTTTCGATCTCATGATCCTTCAGCTCAATCATCAATCGAATACCAAAGCTACAGTCAGGATGTCTCAACTCTGGGCCAACGTAGTGGCTACCTATGATCCCTTTACCATCGAGTTCGCGGGCAGCTGTCTCGTTCAAATCCTTTTCTGGTGGATTCCGTCCGCCGTTTTCGTTCTCCTTGATCATGTTGCCCCAAGTTTTGCGGCGAGACACAAGATACAACCTCCACCAAAACAGCCCAGCACCTCTGAGATATTGGATTCTGTCGTGATATCCTTGAGGAATCAGCTCATAGTCATTGGACTGCAACTGTCCCTAGCGTTTCTGGCAACACAGCGGAATATGCCATCAACATTCCAGGTCACAGCAACACTACCATCTGCAACAAGCTTCACAAGCGACTTTGCCATCTGCTTAGTTGCTCGAGAGGTCCTTTTCTACTATTCCCATCGACTGTTCCACATACCATACCTCTACCGTCGCATCCACAAAATCCACCACAAGTTCACAGCACCAGTCGCTTTCGCCTCGCAGTATGCCCATCCCATTGAGCATATTGTAGCCAACACGATCCCAATTGTCCTTCCGCCAATACTGCTCAAAACTCACATCTTGACCATGTGGGCGTTTGTCGCTTGGCAGCTTATTGAGACTGCGACTGTTCACAGCGGCTTCGACTTCTTTGGAGGGGCAGCTTATCGTCATGATCGTCACCATGAGCGTTTTGACGTCCACTTTGGGGGAATGCCTTGGCTGGACTGGCTTCATAGCACCGACGAACGAAAGAGGCTGGAGAAGAAGAATAAATGATTCTTTCATGACAGAACAATCTCTCCAAGATCTACATCCTGGAAGCGAAGGATCAAGCTATGTATGTTGCCCATATCAGATACCCCTTGAGATCGGTGTGAATGAGTATCGCCAAATGAGTGGTGGGGATTGACACCGCGTTCGAATTGGCTACAGAACAGATTGGCGAGACACCAATATTCATCTGCATGAAGAAAGAACCCGAGCTTTCTCTGAGATCTGTTTGCTTCCACGGAGATATAGTTGTCGGAGGTTGAGAATAAGTTACAACTGGACCAAACTCGAAACCAGTTACTCAGCCCTCGTGTAATAGGCAAGGATCTTGACCTTGGGTCTGGTCCGTTCTGGTGATGGTATATAAGATTGTGGAAGGCTGGAATGTGTCAGCAAGGTTGTTGCTGTTTTATTGTCATGTAACTTACCACTAGCAATAGCAAACAGATTCAATGGGCTTATTGTCTCAAAGACTTCCCATCCACTAGTACCAACGTCCTCACCCATAATCATGGTAATGGACTGAGCCAACGTGACCTGGCTGCACGCCAGTGATCTCTCTGCTGCAGCTTGGGTGCACATGAACCATGTCTCGGCATCTGGAGCATGAAAGTGCTCATCCTGAGCCGCGAGGCCAAATTGTAGTTCATTGATTACCATTCGGGGACTCATATCGTAAAATATCACGAATGCAGAGTCAAGAAGGAAGGTATATAAGAGGGTACGGATTAACTCCTCTCGCAATCCAAACGCCGTCCAGTGGTCATGGAGGTTGCGTGAAGCAAGGGATTCTTCCTCGCTTGTTCCAACCATCGCGAAGGGATACAGGGTGCGGGAAACGAAGACGATGTCAGGAAACCGTGTTCTTCGTGCTCTGAGTCTCGTTTTTGTGTCACCCTCCCAATTCATGAGCAGAACGATACCATAAGCAGCCTGCAATATGTCAAGGCGCTGACGAACCTGAGAATCCTGGCTGTCATCGTCTGTTTGAGCAATACTGTCTTCGCTGAAATCCGGGTCCTGGAAGATCCAGTTCTCGACTGTCTCGAGCCACATCATTGCTTGATCATGGTACTTTCTGTCGGGACTCAAAGAGGCACCTATCAGTGACAGAGCCGCTATCAACTTGGGAGACTTTGCAGTGGGGTCAAATGTAGGTCTATGGAAGACGGGCCAGTTTGGATGCCAGGCTTGAAAGAACAAAGTCAAGAACAGCTCAACATTTCTTGGGGAAAAGAATCTTGAACAAGACAATTTTCGTGAGTTAGACCAGTTTAGATCAGATACTTGAGATGATGCTTCAAAGGCACCTCTGACAATCTGTTCGCATATGTTTGCCAATGAGTGTTGTCCTGTCAGCCTTTGCTGGTGCTGGGGCTGTGTCTGTTGGCCTATAGTTACCCAAGGCGATGCAACTGGGGTTCCAGCAATGGCTACTGATTCGAGGGAGGGCTGGCTACCATATTGTAGGAGGCCAGAATGAGCCTTTGCCCTGGTGAAGATATTGTCGCAGTTGAATGAATTGGCCAGACCATGGGACGAAGTAAGTCTGGCAAGAAAGCGGAGACGCATACGAGGAAAGTTCGGCTTAGGTGTTACAAGCGACAGCGATGGGCTATCAGGGGAGAGAGGCCATTCATCTTGTGGTAGATATGAGCCGGATTGTGACCTCAGACTGGAATTGCTATCCGACTGGGAAACGGGTTGAGGCTGCATAAATAGGAAGGGATAAAATGAGGTGACCGTCGTCGAGTCCGAAATCCAGTCATGTTGTGATAGGAATGGTGACCCGCCCTGCATGCCCTGTCCTGATAGAAGCCCGTAAGTTTTCTGGTCTTTTGCCCCCTGCAGTGAGGATATAAAGTCATTCCTCCTTGGTGTTTGGACATAAATGCAATCCTTGTTCTGCTCGGCGCAAGCTGTGCAAGGTTGCGATCCCTTGCATCTCCTTTTCAATTTGACACATCTTTCGCAAGCATTCTGTGGTCTCCCACGCTTCTTCTGGCCCAGGGATGGGAGCGGTAAACCTGATCTGAGTCGTCTGTCACATGTTCTCCAATGACGAAGGAGTGCGTCTCTGAAGACTTTCCCTCAGCTATTGAAACCCAAGAAGGCATGATTGAGTATAGACTAACCGTCGATTGAATCCACGGGTGCAGTACTGGCATTGGTAAGACCTTTCATCTGTGTCTGAGCGCTTGTTGCTTTAGTATCGACACCCTAGAACGAGATTTCAGCAAGCTTACGCGACAGATAATGCCGATTGAGGTGGTCTTGATGCAATATTGTCAGTGAGTACTACATCCCGTCAAACGCCTAGATTTTAAATTTCATACCTGACTTCGTAAACCCGGCGGAACAGATAGGACAGCAATGTTGCGGCTGTTTATCAGACATGGTGTTGACCGAGGTCATCAGGTCGGGCTAGGGAACTTGGGCGGCAGTACAAATTAAGAGACATAAGGGATGCAACCTAGCAAATACAGCGATGGAGAAGTCACGGGCCACAAAGTCCACAGTTGATCGCAGAGATGAGCCTGAACAAACTAAATTGCTGAATTTGACGCGCCTATGCAACCAAAAGCTGGTCACGATGAACACCTGGAGGCGGGAAATCTGCCACCCCCGCAGGAGAGATCGGCATCCCGCCTCATCCCCACGATCTAGTCTAGATCCAGATATCGAAACCCCGCAAAAGGACAGCCGCTCGGTTTCTAGTGAGAAGCATTTCGGCATTTGTTCGCGGCATCCGGGACTTGGAGGAATCATATCTTACCTGCCATTGATCGCACGTCTGACTTGAACTTATTAATTCTTCGAGCGTTGCCGATTTTTAACTCACGCCGGTGAAAGTTTCCCTTGACGTGCTGCGTTTAGTGACAGCAGCCATAAATTCGCTCTCTGTAGCAGTACAGAACTATGGGTGACGCAGCACCTGAGGAGCCCTACCATCGGATCGCTACCGTGGTAGTAAGTAAAATCGTGACATCAAGTGTTTGGTTCATCAACGACTAACAATAACGAAGCGCTCAAACGAAGGCTTCCAATTCAAGATCAACTCAGTTCCAATCCCCAAACTTCAACCATGGGAAGTGCTCGTTAAGCTCTCCGCTACTGGTGTCTGCGGCACTGATATGGCCCTTGCAGGTGGCTACCTCGGTCCATGCCGTGAGGTGCTTGGCCATGAGGGCGTGGGCCGCGTTGTACAAGTTGGCTCTGGAGTAGACCCCAACTCTGTCATGATTGGCGATCGAGTTGGTATTGCTTGGGTCAGGGACGTCTGTGGTCGATGCAATTGTTGTCGTGAACCTGGTGGTGAGGTCCGTTGTCTGGAGCAGCAGAACTCGGGACGGAAGTGGGACGGAACCTTTGCAGAACACTGCATTGTACCAAGTCGTTATGTTCTGACTATTCCTGAGTCGAAGGAGCTGCCAGATGAACTTGTTGCACCGACATTGTGCGGCGGCGTCACTGCATATAAAGCACTCAAGGCTTGTGGCGCGACACCGGGAGAATGGGTTGCTATTGTCGGAGCTGGCGGCGGTGTTGGGGGTTTGGGGATTCAGTACGCAAAAGCCATGGGATTCCGCGTCGCAGCTGTTGATATCGGGTCTGCAAAAGAGTCATGTATCAAGATGGGAGCCGACGCATACTTTGACGGAGCATCGCCCGATACACCGGCCGAACTGAGGAAGCTCACTCCTAATGAAGCTGGAGCCAAGGCCGTCATCGTCACTGCAGGATCAGGCCGAGCGTATCAGAGCGCCCTTGATCTTGTTGCAGTGTTTGGCACTTTGGTCTGCGTTGGCATTCCTCCACCAGACCAAGCGATGAGTCTTCATCCGCTGACTCTCATTGACCGTGGCATCAATCTGCTGGGAACATTAGTGGGAACACGAACTGAAACCCTCGAAGCTCTGGAGTTCGTGCGAAGAGGCGTGGTTAAACCTGTCGTGGAGTCGGTGGAATTTGATCAGCTCGACGATTTGGTCAATCAGTTCTCAAAGACATCTGGAAAATTGGTTATACAATTTCCATCCTAGGTTCCATCCTCTGTTTTCTTGTAGCTTCGAGGTTGTTATACAAATCTATTAGAAGATCTTAGAGATAGTAAATACCAGTCAATTCTTATTAAGAGTAAGTATTTCTATCAGTTTTTCGGTTGTAGCTCATATCATCACCGCTGCCAATTGTCTATAATGATCTGATATGATCCCAAATTAAGACAAGCAATAAATGATAAATCTCACCAGATGAGCCAAAGAACCTTCAACACGTTGCATGTATTTTTCATTTTGAAGATAAGACGCATCCCGAGTAGATCTTTGCCGGTTCACGCCGAAGGATATTTGAAAGTCCGGTATCAGGACGGGACCATATGCACATATCGGACAATTCCCCACCTCCACCTCGATGCTGTGTAACCTGACGTCGGCCGAACGGGAAAATACCCACCATTGCCCGGCCAAGCACCAAGGCTCACCAATATCGAAAGCGTGGCTACTGAACACGGGAACTTCTATTTAAGGCCTGCCAGAGTCGCACTTGGTTGACTTGGTATATCATGTAAAGAATCGTTATACTATCCCCATCAGAATGACTACTGTTAAACCTCTTGTCCTGCCGCCTGGCATCGCACCATCTGTTTTCCATCAATTCATAACAGAAGTCACTGAAGTTGCAACCGCTGAAAATGTTATCGTCATATCCAACCCTGACCAGTTAGACAAGCAGGACTACCGCGACCCCAGCAAGATGCACGACATGTTTGACATAACCTCGAAGCAGCATTTTGTCTCCTCAGCTGTCGTCACTCCCCGCGACGTAGCCGAGGTCCAAGTAATCGTCAAGCTGTGCAACAAGTTTGAGATTCCCCTTTGGCCATTCTCCGTTGGCCGAAATGTTGGGTATGGTGGTGCTGCTCCACGTGTACCAGGCTCGATTGGTCTTGATCTTGGGAAGCATATGAACAAGATCTTGAAGGTTGATGTTGACGGCGCTTATGCTCTGGTCGAACCTGGAGTTACATATGCAGATCTTCATCAGTATTTGGTAGACAATAACCTTCGTGACAAACTGTGGATTGATGTTCCTGACCTTGGGGGCGGATCCGTGCTGGGAAACACTACAGAGAGGGGAGTTGGCTATACTCCTTATGGTAAGCCATCTTCATCATTGCACCAGCAAACCGCTAACGGCTTGTAGGTGATCATTTTATGATGCACTGCGGCATGGAAGGTAAGAGCTCTGATACTGCTACCATTGGAAGGGGACACTTATGACTGACTCTGCAAAGTCGTACTTCCCGATGGCACACTAGTCCGTACGGGAATGGGTGCTTTGCCAAACCCAGACGCGGATCCAAACGCCCCTCCACACGAGCAAGAGCCCAACTCAGCGTGGCAACTGTTCAATTACGGCTTTGGTCCCTATAACGACGGCATTTTTACCCAATCATCTCTTGGTATTGTTGTCAAGATGGGCATCTGGCTTATGGTGAACCCTGGTGGATATCAGTCATACTTGATCACTATTCCCAAAGATGAGGATCTTCATCAGGCCATTGAGATCATCCGACCACTTCGGACTTCGATGGTGCTGCAAAATGTTCCCACTGTTAGACATGTACTTTTGGATGCAGCGGTCATGGTATGAGCCCAGCTTGATTACTTGGGCACAGCTGACGATAGCTATAGGGATCTCGAGATAAGTACACGACGTCGAAAAAGCCACTCAACGACAAGCAACTCGACGAGATCGCGGAGAAGCTCAACCTGGGCCGTTGGAACTTCTACGGAGCACTTTATGGCCCTGAACCCATACGCAAGGTTATGTGGGAAGTCGTCAAGGGTGCATTCTCAGCCATTCCAGGGGCCAAATTCTACTTCCCGGAGGATATGCCAGACAATCTTGTTTTGCAGACTCGACACCTTACCTTGCAGGGCATTCCTACCATGACTGAGCTTGAATGGGTGTAAGTTCAACATCTCATCCGATATCCCTTTTGACATATTAACCTCCTTTCAACAGCAACTGGCTTCCCAATGGAGCCCACCTGTTCTTCTCCCCCATCGCCAAAGTCACGGGCGACGACGCGGTCGCTCAGTACGCCTTGACCCGCAAGCGATGCGAAGAAGCAGGTTTCGACTTCATTGGAACATTTGTCGTCGGAATGAGGGAGATGCATCATATAGTGTGTCTTGTCTTTGACCGTCTCGATCCAGAGTCGTGCCGTCGAGCGCATAATCTCATTATTCAGTTGATCGACGACGCGGCGAAGAAGGGTTGGGGAGAGTATCGCACTCATTTGGCATTGATGGATCAGATTGCGCAGACTTACAACTTCAACAATAATGCGCAGATGCATCTCAATACCACCATCAAGAATGCATTAGATCCCAAGGGAATTCTGGCGCCCGGTAAGAATGGGATATGGCCAAGCGGCTATAACGCAAAGGACTTTGCTGTAAGTCCACAGCGCTCTACAAAGCTGTAGCAGGTTACTAGTTTAGATTCTTAAGCTAAGAAGTGAGGTTGACCATAACGGTCTTGGTCTCAGTAATCTCCTTTGTTTATATTTTGGCCCCCATTTGTAATATTTACCTCTCTCTCAATGGGACACTTGATACGCAAGGTTGTGTAGTATTTGCTTTAATAAAAATATCCAACGCAAGAGTGAGATCCGTCTACATTAGTATTTATGAACAGACGCGGTTCATGAGCCGATCGTTGAGGACAAGTTTAAATCTTGGCTTGGGTTGTGTCTTTGGCCAATTGTGCACGGAATGGCTTGGTCAGTTGCCTAACCGCCAAGTCCAACAGAACATCCTCGCTTCCACCAGGAATCCTGGCCCCAGGCACTTCTCGATAAATCTCTGTGTCGTCATGTCAGCTCTCTATCTCAGTATAAAAGCATCTGCTGGACGGCTTACTCTCAGCAATCTCTCCTTTACCCGTACGCGTATAACCGTTGCCTCCGAACAACAGAACAGCGCATCTTGCACACTCGTCAAGAACAATGCCGGCGTTGGCTTTGCACAGAGCGGTCAGACCGCCGAGTTCTTGGTCTGCTGTTTCCTTGGGCATCTTGGAGAGCTGGTATGCAAATGATTCTACCCAGGACCATTGCGCTTCCAGGATTGCGCCACATTTAGCCAGTCGGTGACGTACCACGGGTTGCTCCATGAGAGTCTTGACAAGGTCAGCTAAGAACCACATCCACTCTATTTTTTGAACCCACCTTATTGAATGCCTTGCGCTGAAGACAATATGCGAAGGCGCTGCTCAGGGCAACTCGAGCCTGACGAGTGACACCAACAGAGATGAACATACGCTCGTGGTTAAAGTTGTGCATGATGTACTTCATGCCCTCGTTCTCACGCCCGATCAGGTTTTCCCGTGGGACTCTCACATCATCAAGTTCGATAAAGGAAGTTCCAGCCACAATCTGTCCCGCAACTTTGAGTCGTCTCCTTGTCACGCCAGGATAGTTCTTAAGCGGGACCAAGATTAAAGAAATGCCTTTTCCCCCAGAGTTTTCCTCACCAGTTCGGACTGCCATGCTAGCATAGTCTGCCATCATTCCATTGGTAATCCACTTCTTGGTCCCGTTGATGATATACTCGTTGCCACTGAGAGTAGCCGTCGTGGTAATGTTGGCGACGTCAGAGCCAGCACTAGAGATGAGATCAGTAAAGCTCTCACTGAGCGAAGTTTTGAACCCACTCTGGCTCCGTAATAGCGATACAGATTCTCTTTCGCCCGAGTAAGAGATCTGGGAGGAATCTGTCTTGCAGCTGAGGCTCTGCATAATGCAACAGAGGGGGGATACCAAAAGCAACGCCAGTGGTGATGGAGCCTGGTGGTCCAGCAAGACCGGAGCGGCTCATCTAGTGTTCAATACAGTCAGAATCTCGATATATAATGCACCCGTGTGGTTCAATACCTCATCTGCATATATAATTGTGTGCAAACTGTCCCATTCCTCCACAGGTACCTGGCCGGGCATGTGAGTTATGCCCAGCTTTCGGAGCCATTCTACAGGTAAAGGCGCTGGCAAAGACGGCAGGATAAAGTTACCCTTTGCAAAGACCTCGAATAAATTGGACGGCACCTCCTCTGCTGTTTCCCAGTCGAGAGCATTCTTGTTGAGGTTCTCATCGACGAATTCGCGACAAGCAGCCTGGAACCTGCGATGCGACGCGTTGAAATACGGCGACGGGGCACCTCTTAGCCAAGGGGGGTCTGCGAAGGGGACTTGGTGAACGGCACGCGACATTTTGGATGTATTCTTGGAGATGGCAAAAGTTTTACAACAGGTTGGTCAAGGTAGATTTAATGAATCGTAAACTTGCATATGTAAGCAATACTCCAAAGCTTCCAACGTCAACCGCGGGGTTTTCCTATTGAGGAAACATGCCTCGGCACAGCTATCTAGAACTACCCTAAGCCAGCCTCGGCTCATTTTCAAACTTTCCTACCCACTCAAGCGTCTTATTACCCCTCTGATCAACATGGACGTGCCGAACGTCAAAGCCTGGACTAGGACTGGGGGTCATTTTAATTAATCGCCGGTATTTTCCTGCCTTACCTCTTTGCCGTAAGGGTCGTCTCCGGACGGAATCTAGATTATTTTAACTCTATTACTTCTTTTCTCAATCTCTTGACATACTTGTAGATCTGCCGTGTAGTGACTTGACCGGACTGCTATTACGGTCATTAAATCGTCTTAAGTTATAACTGGTCTCCTCAATAGCACCGTAAACTCCTGTCGTTACAGACCATCTGGTATGCACAGTAATGCTATTGCTGTCGCTTCCAGCTCGGCTGTATACGGAATTCGGTCGTCTTGCGACCCAAGGTGACCGAGTACCTAGCCACAATCCTGTCGTTTTGGCCATATAATCTATGGGCTATAGTACTGCCTATGTTTACTAGACCTCTTCTGTCGGAGGTGCTGCTCGCGATGATAATGTCGCTGGCGCTCTTTGCTGCATGGCAGTCGGCCTCGTATACCCGCGACATACGGTTATGCTGTATAAGCTTGGATCGTTTTCTATTTCGCTCTATACGGCTCCCACTATATGTGAGAGTTAGTTTCCTTAGTGGCGAAGTATATCTTTAACTCGCCAACACCTTGATAGCTGTGAGTAGATGCGTCTTTGGCACCATCTTGATGTTGATGCATATTCTTGTGCCAGCTTTGGTAAATCACTTGCAAACCGTCTGTATGCTGGCTTTTACTTCCGCCACTGCTGTTGTGGCCGCCTGGAAAGCATCCCTGATGGCTCATGCTCCTATCTTCTGGTCCCTATTAAACTAACTTATGGTTCTTTCGCTTTGTGTATGCGACCATACGACTGGAGGGTAGTCTATCTCCGGAGTAACCTTCGCCATAAAGAGCTACCTGACCGTATGTGAGGATACAATCTTACGTTTTCTCAGGGATATGGCCGCTATAAGACCTCTAGTAACTACTTCAGTTCTATGTTTTTCAAACCTCAGTTTCACATCTATAATAATGGATTTTGACCTCTTGCTTCCGTTTAATGTTATCTCCCTTGACTGTGTACGGTATGTAGCTGATATAATTGGTAAGGCGTATAAAGTGCAAGGCGACTACCTTATTGCATTCAAATATCGCCTCACTGCATCTCTTCTATACTAGCGTGCGGTCAATGATGGTTTGGATACCCTCTCCATTACTGTCTGCCGTTGGACCTGTGACTCAGGCTGAGTAGTCGTCGACAAACGCAACCAAGCCTCCATTCGATTTGATCTTACTCTGTAGTAGGTCTGCGTCGAAGAATAGGAAGAATATTGGCGACAACCCGAAGTCTGCCATTTATTCCTGATGCTATGTGAATAACTTTAGACAATATGCCTTCAACCGAGCTCTTAAATATTAGTATCCCCACCGTTTAAATGGCGTTTGAGCATTCGATAGTGTCTCGACTCCAATAAATAGTGGAGGTTCACTAATGCCCGCCGGACGCTGACTCAATAATACCTTCTTAGTAAAAGGCATTTTGTGACCCAAATTAAAGGCCAGTGCATTGTAAGCTGGCTCCAACACTGCTCAAGTTAGCGGGCTAGTTAACATCCTCGATGATAGTAGAGGCACTAACTTGGATTCATAGTGTCGGGAATAGTGCCATTGCACAGCCACTTAGGAACGGGTTTCTGTTTTGAATCCAGTGCAGTATGTAACTCGAGAGCCGCCTTGACACGCGCGCCAACGTCCGTAGATTTCCACACGTCCATACCTTGGATCCGCATCGTCTCGGCGATGTGAGAGATTGATGAGATGCCAAAGCTGGTATGGGCAAAGTCTCGGCAGGTCTCCTGCGTGATGCCACTAATTGGGAAGGCTTTTTGATTGTACCAGTATTTGATGATCTCCGCGGTGGTATTGATCCCACCACGGCCTTGGACGGGATACTCCCCATCAGAGGTCAAATAGATGTACGCGGGGACCCGGGCGGAGAACAACCCTAAAGCCTTTTCGTACAGAGCTGCATCTTCAAGGAAGACGGCAGCCCCTATGGTAGACTCAATCATCACTATGAGCGTCAGCAGATCAGCTAGGGACAGTATTACAGAAGAAGTACACCCACCTAGTTCCCAGTTTCCATTCTTCCGCGGGGCGCCGTCTTCAATCATGGGGAGGTAGGCGTGTCGTAGCATGTCAGAGAACGTCTTGATACCCTTCTTGGACCAGTGTTTATAGCTCGAGCGCATGATTTCACCTGCGCGTACCCAATTAGCGGCCGACCAGGCCGTCTGCAGTGGTGCGTTGCTGTTGTTGTGACCTTGGATCGTGCTAGACCAGGCATCCATATAATGGATGGATTTCTCAGCATAGTGCTTGTCCTTCGTAATCCACCATGCCAATGCGTTCGTGTATGCCGCCATGGAATCCTCGCGCTCCTGATAACACCCAATGTTGGGCGTCGATGTTGGTCCGCACTGAACCGTCTCATATGGCTCAGCCGTTCGCGTAGGCGACATATAGGTCATGTTGAGCATTGAATCCAATGCCTCCGTCCAAGGGTTCTCCCTAGCCTTGATCTTCTTGGCAATGTAGTCGAGCTGCGGCCCGGAAACGAAGACTCCTGGATGAACCCATGTCTTGGGCGCGTCGGTTGGAATGGGAAGATAAGGAGTTTCCTTACTATTACTGGCCGCATGTACACACTTAAAAGCAAAGGAAGCTCCCAGGCCAAGCATTAGGACTTGGAACTTCATCTTGTCCGTGAAAATGATGATAATTTGGAATAATAGACATACAGCGCTACCGCTAATTAACAATAAATATTATAGCCCTAATTGCTGTTTAATACCGCATTGTTGCATATCAGTCTTACCGGGGTCATAACAACCCTATACTTACTAATCGTGAGAAATTCGATAGTAAGCATTTATAAGGGAACTGTCATACTAGACCTTTTAGTTTATTTCCGAAATAACAGTTTCCACCAATTATATCTTAATCCAATTTAAGGTTTTTCACTAATCGGCTATAAATAGTACGGAATGCACTTAATAAGTGCCTGTACGGAGTATGCAGAAATTTATTACTCCTTTGGGAGAAAGAGTAAGCAAAGATATAATTAGGTAATTTAGTAAATGTCAAGGCGTCTTGTAAACACAAAGCTTCAGAATCTCGGTTCTCTGTATCTATTTAAAATGCCATTGTGATACTTACCTATATGATTATGTTCCTCTAGAGTCTACCTCCGCCGGGGCTATTTGACGTTCCTTCTTTGCATGGCGTTTCCTCCCTCGGATCATCTCTCAGTTCACATTTTCTCCGCGTCTACCCACTCGGAATGGTTTGCCTCTCAGAACCAATCAAGTCGTAACTTTGTGGAGCGATATGGAGTACTAACGCAAGCGCGTACCTTTGCGGCTGCTTGAGGTATATCTTAACAGGGCGTAAAATTGATGCGTCCTTACAGCTGTTGGACTTCAAGTAAGGCGCGTGATGTAAGTAAGCTTGATATATGTTTTTGACCAAAGATTTTTTAGTGATGCGTAAGTAGGAATACGGAAATTTCCTAATAATAAATCTCCAATCAGGGTAACTACGGTGTAGCAGCTAAGGAAGTTGTAGCAAACCTGACTTACTGTAGCTGTCGCCTATTCCGCCATTTTAAGGACCGCCACGACGGCCATTCCTGTCCCACCAACTATCGCCCTTGGCTTTACAGTGACCGACCACACAGTAGTAATCGCCGCCCTTGTTGTTCTTGTTGGGAGAAGAAATGTCATAGATGCTCGTCGTTTTTTTATACTCGCCTGGCGCGCGTGTAGTGTCTTTCACGGTGTCTATCATTCATCAGCATCATCTCAGGTACGTAACTCATGCCAGGTAACTTACAAGTCGTGTGGGCGGTATTGTACCAAATGCAGACAGTTTCGTTCTGGCCGCCGTTGCAGCTGTAGTTATTGCCAGTCGACCAAGATTTTGTGACAGCAAAGCCCATTGATGCCCAGTATTTATCTTAGCCAACGCTGAAAGTGGCCCCAACACTGAAGGACTCCGAATCTGTCTTGCCGACGGTACAGCCCTGGCTGTTGCCGCAGCGGATGGGTTCCTGGAGTCTGTTAGTACAAACTTTACGACGCACTGTTGGGTCAAGGCACTGGGGTGTTTTCATACCGATATCTGCTGGTGGAAATAATGCTGGCGAGGATTTCCTGTCAAGTCGCATTAGTGACTGTCATATCAAGGGGATAGTCGGCAAACACTTACCATCCCCATCAAGCTCTCTTTCTGTGGTCGAAAAGGCGTCCCGCATTTTGTTTTTAAACTTATCCCACCAGCCTCGCTTGTGCATCTGACTCGCGTCATTCAGAGTCTTGTTCTGCAGGAACTGCAGTTCGCCATTCGTAGGACTCTCAGTAAAGCAGGCTCTTGGCTTGTCACCAACGGCATCAGCAGCATCCCAGCTGACTCCCGAGCACAGGACAAGAATGTATTGTGGGTTGAAAGTCCGAGAGCATGCAGGTCCCCCAGACCAGTCAGGGTTGCTATGAACCATGTAGGTAGCATTACCAACGGTGAAGTTTCCACTACCATCGATTTCATCAACATTTGAGAAGTCGATAGGGTGTTTTGCGTAAATTGTACTGCTACATGTCTCCGCAATGACAGTGCCATTGGTGTCTCTTGCTACTAATGAAGAGACCTTGGTGTTACGCTCCAGACGCCAGGCAACCTGAGCATCTGCCGCCAGACAGGCTGAAACGAATAGCAAGATCGAATGAAAAGATATTAAGTTCATTATGAAAGGCATTAGAGCTGGTATTGGTGACTGGGCGGACTTTGTAGCTCTCGCAGAATATGCTTGGGTTTTGTGATGCTGAGTTGCATCATGGTGACGGATGCATGGGAGGCACCTTTTAATATTCCATGAAGTCATACAAAAGAGCCATAAGCTAGGTTTAAGCATGCCAAAGTTTATCCTGTGGTAAATTATGGCTGTCGAACTCTGTATCTGAAAGTTTATATCTTGACACAAAACTTAGATAGACATACAGTTAAGGAGTTATCACAAAAGTATATTATTCCGGTTTTAATTATTAGACTTATCCTTATTAAGGCTATATATATAATGCCTTTAAAAACCTAAAGTTAACTGGTATTTTTCCATATATTAGCTTAATATGTCTTGTTGAGATATTCTAAGTTATAACTATCAATTAATACAGTTAAGAACTGGCAAACAAGAGGACTCTTGCTTTCAAGACCTTGATGATGATCAAAGTCTTAGAGAAGCTTAAAAATGATGAGGTCTGTGGTGACTCATGATACCAAGACCGTGGTCAAACTCAATCGATTCTTGGGCCAGGTCAACTTCCGTTCATTGGCTGACACGCAGATCAAGTTTCATATCTCAAGAGTTTTCTTCGACAATATCCTCTTTGAAAAAGTAAACCAGGAGAATTTGGTCAGTCATGAGAACCACACAATGCATTAGCCAAGTATAGACTTTAGAGGAGCCTGGGTTCAGAGGCCAAATCAGCTCGAATAAAAGCTACAGGCCTCCCAATGACCTCATCACAGAAGTTCAAGGCCCCAGTGTTGAAATTGTCTTGGATTAGCTTTATGACACGAGAGCAAGCAATGAGAGGCTTCTGGGACGCCAAGATCTGCGTCCCCACCTCTTTGGACAGGTTGATCAATGACGAGATCAGAAGTATAGGCGTTGGAAGAACATACCCGGTTTCCATTTACACCCTCGCGGAGCTGGAACTGTAGTTCCACGATGCATATAGAACCTTTGATGATATACAGCATCGAGCATCAGTAGTTGAGCTTGCCGTTACACTGTGTCTCGTGCGTACGAGTATATACCCATTGCTCCGCGGAGTATCTATGTCGAGGGACAAAACCGGGGTTAGCAATAGTGATGCCCTCACTTGATTTTCAAAATTAGTAACACCAGATACGATATGCACATAAATGATCGTATCGAAGCCCCTTGGAGAAATTCAAGCTCCGAAGGCGTTGTTGCAAGGCCTCGTGATAAACGATCATCGCAGTGGCCCATTTCGCCCACTACTTCGCTAAGTACTCCCCGGAGCTCTGTGCTATCAGAGCCTAGGCAAGCTTTCCCTTGAGACTAAAATCCGGTTTGCGGACATCTAGCTCGGGACGCATGTTGGAAAGGGCACTGAATGTGTCGGTATCCGCGATGAGTGCCTTGAGATTGATGCAAGAAATGGCCTAATGTGTGATTATTGAGGCTGATATACCAAGAGACGCCCAGAGACATATGGTTCTGTGATTGAAGAAAAACTAATATGTCGAGCTTTATTGTGTCAGAAAGCCGGCGTCTTCTCGTGTTTCTATCGATGGCGCCTATTTATTTAAGGCTGGCATTGCCATCTACGCCACTTCGGTCCTGACCTAGTCGCTTCTATATCCAATATACTGCCTTGAGAGTACATGAATCATGGTATATAGCTAAGGTATGTCGCCGATATAAGAGGCTTGGCCTAGAGTGCATTGATTAACGGCTGATTCGACTAGGAGGGTCGCCCTGAGAAATCTGAATCTTTAAACAACCAACGCCCTAGAACATCCAGATAAACAAATCAAGCCATACTTAAACTAACTACAGAAGGTTGGGTATATATATTAAGCACAATGCCGAGAGAAGTTCAATTAAACATCAGTCAAATGCTTCGTCTCCAAGATCTGCCTTATCTCAACCAGCTTGATCGGCTTGGTCAAAAACAGATCGATACCACTCAAAATGGCTTCTTGCTGTGCTTCCTGTGACGCCAGGCCAGTCAGGGCAAACACAGCACACCTTGGAGCAGGGGCGCCAGTCTCAATCTTGCGGATCGCACGCGTTGCCTCGAATCCATTCATGACCGGCATGGATATGTCCATAAACACACATATGAAGCCCTTGGGGTTCTCTCGATACTTGTCAACGGCCTGCTGTCCGTCTGTCGCGGTGCGGTACGGCAGATTGAGCTTCTTCATGAATACTACCAGCATTTTCAGGTTGATTGGATTATCGTCTACGAGAAGGAATAGTCGTTCACTTGTTCTCGGCTCAGCGCACATGGGATCCGGCTTTTCTGAAGGTGTGGCGAGAGGGGAACGTGGGAGTTGCTGAGGCAGATACCAGTTGGGAGTGGTAGAGTAAAGCGAAAGGTCTTCACTGAAGACATTGCTGTTCTCGCCGTTGACAGCAGGCGGAGTTGGTGGATTCTGGCCCAATGCAACGCTCCTTTCATTGCCTGGTCGATTTCTGAGACACAGTTGTTGCTTTGGATGTTTCGTTATTGATCGTAGCACAAGCTTTCCTAGCCGGCGTGGACCTATGCTGAACCGACGAGCTGGTTAGTTTTGGATTGCTTGTGAGGTGATGGGTTAAGCCGAGTCAACTTACGGTTGGTGAGTAAAGAAAACATTCTGCGCGTTGAGTCCGCGATCAAGGTTATTGGCCACTGTTCGTTTCCGCGCCATAACCGCGTTTTGACAAAAGACAATCACTGGCGTTGAGTTATTGTATCGCATGGTTGATGCCGCATTGTCGAAAGAGCGGTCATTGCACAGTACGATGTCGGGAGAAATGCCCTGGACGTCCACCGAGTCAATTGGATCCAAGCCCAGCCATTGTTGACAAGTTGATGATACAATCTCCTTCTCGGTTGGGATGTTGTACAACACCGGGTCGTTATCTAAACAATCCTGAAACCCAACGAGGGAAACCTTCAAGCCCTCGAGGCGCTTGAGGTGGCCATCTGTCAACTCCGAGTCCCACGTTTTATAGGCATCTTCAGTAGCCACTAGCTCGGGGGCTTCTGCGCATTTTAGAGGTAGATCGACTTGAACTGTGGTGCCGACTCCCGATGTGCTTTGCACGTCTACAGTTCCTTTCATAGCTTGGACAATCCGTCTGACAACACTCAATCCAAGCCCGGTTCCTGCGTCCATGTTGTCTTGTTGAGAAAAAGGTGTGAAGATTTCATGACTAAGAAAATCCTTATCGATGCCGCAGCCTGTGTCGGTGATAGCCAATCTTACGAGACGGACGTCGGATCCAGCAGGAGGACTAGGCATATCCAGTTGCTCGACTTGGACATGAATGAAACCGCTGGTCGTGAATTTGAGTGAGTTGCCCAAGATGTTCATGATAATGCGCCGAATTGCGCCCGCCTGTACGTGGAATTTCCATGCCGGGCTAGGCGAGAAGTGAATACTGACTCTGACTCGCCCGTTGCAAAGATCGCTTTTCTGACCAAGCGACAGCTTCTGGAACTCGTGGCCAGCATGGATGCTTTCGACAACTTCTTCGACCAGATTGGGAAGATCGACTCTGGAAGCGATGTTCATCATGCTTGCCTCGACGCTGTTCTCTCGGGATGAACGTAGGGTGCGACTGTCAACGTCGCTGTAGGTGTAGTTGGTGTCCTTTGTAAGTGATGAGGTGAAACGATTGATTTTGGTCCAGTCAAGGATTTGGTCAATGGCGTCTAACAGTGTACGGCTGCACGCTTCAACTGACAAGAGGGCTTCTTGCTGAGAGTAGTCGAGCCTAGTTCCACGTAGCAGACCGGCGCCGAGAATTATGCCATGAAGGGGCGAGCGCAATTCGTGGGAAATTGAGTCCAACACGCCAAGTTTGGACCGTTCAGTCTCTCGCTCTCTCATGGATGAAACCTCTGCCATGAGGACGGTCCCAAATGCTCGGAGATAGCTTAATTCCCTTTTTGGTGAAAAGACACGGCTGGGCTTGACGCTGTACGCGAACCCGCCTGCAAACCAGCGCCGTTTTTGGGCGTCCCATACGGGAAAGAATGCCACGCTTTTGGCATCGGGAAGCATCTTCAAGACTTCTTTTCGAAGTTCTTGCCTTCTGCGAAGCTGGCCGGGACAGCATGGTGACTCGACTGACGAAACTGGACATGTCTTGCCAGACTCTGGGGCAACTGGGCTTTCGTCCGTAGCGTCCACAGAACTATCATCGCTATGAACCTCGCTCGAATCATCTTGCCCAGCTTCAAAATTCCAAATCGTGCCACGAGGGTAGTAACGTAGTAGCTTCGTAAGAACTGCTACGCTTAGAGTTTCGTGGCCGAAATAAGAATTGCCGTCGCATTTAGCCTCGGCCGCGACAGACGAGCTGAGTACGGGGCACATGGTATTATTTCCACCGTTCAGGGTTTGTTTGTTGGCTTGTGCCTGTATTGACTCCTTATTTTGGGTGCTAGAACGGGGACTCGTACTAGGGCTGACCAGATTGCTGCGTCGCGAATACGAGGCATCCAACAGCATAAGACCGTCGACTTCGAGGGCATCCCTCATGATATCGGCTGCGCTCGTGCATGTGCTCTTCAGGCGGTCCACACGGGGCCTGCTGTCGGTGGAATGATGAGATTGCGCACTAGAGTCTGCTCCTGGCGTATGAAGTCTCGGTTCGGTCGCAAGCAGTTGGTCATCCCTCATGTCGGCCTGGCTAGCACGTCCGTGGAAAAACCTTTGTATGCCGCGAGTGACACGGTCTGCTTGGCGGTATCTTTCGGTGACACGTCGTTCCTCGAGATGGGTCATGATAGCCTGAGCTAGATCTCGCAGAATATTATTGGCTGGCTCGTCCAGCCCGGATCGGGGCTGACAGTCAAAGACGCAGAGAACGCCGATGTTGATACCTTTGGTAGTCTTTAGGGGGACGCCGGCATAGAAACGATTATTGGGCCAAGAATGGCAGTAAGGTCGGTGACATAGCAGGTCGTCGGTTCTGAGGTCGCTAATGACAGTGACTGGAATGCTGGAATTGCTGTTGACCGCGGGATCGCGAGATGGCTGCTCGTTTGACGGGGCAACGAGGACACGTTCACAAACTCCAAAGGAACGAGGAAATCGCGTACCACACAGCCAAAGGCCTGGGTCATTCTGTGCGAGGCTGGCATTGGGCAAAAGGCGCAGGTCTTGAGTGGCCTCAGCAACGACGTATTGGTTCGAGCGGTCGAAGAGGGAGATGAGGGCTCGGGTGGTATTGAGTCGCAAAGCGGCCAGTTGGCAGAAGGCAGTCAAGATGGCATCGGAAGAGGCACAGAGCTCGCTGGAGGGGATGAGTTTGGAGGGGGAGTTGGGGACGGCGTTGATGATGAGGGCAGGGTCATATCTACAAGTATTCTTGGTGGTTAGCACTTGATGATCAATGCGCAGGACCAGAATTGGTATGACGAACCTAAATGTTTCTCTTTCACGAACAACTTCACCCGGTGGCCATGGCCGTGACGACATGATGGAGATGAAGACAAGGGACCTGAGTCTCTATCTACAGCCCGAGACGACAAGATCTTCGTCGCTGGGGAGGGGGGCTGTCGCTGGCCGTTCACGGTCTTATCCATGGCTGCTGTGGCGTCGGCGACTAAGCAACGTCCAATAGGGAGAGCATGGGAAAGAATGCTCCGACCAGGTTGGCCGTTTTTCGTTGCAGATAGCCCACTGTGCGGCGCAGGTAAGCTGGGTTAGCACAGTAACTAGTTTGGTGGCGCATTCGTCTGTAGTGAGGCTTTTCCTGACCATTCTAGCCTGTCTAGCCTGTACATGCATAAATTACAGTACAGTCCTACTCCGTAGTCTAGACCAGTCGAGTGGCGACTGACATGGCCTGACCTGAACTGACCTGGCACCGGGATTGTTGGTTCCGGCAGCATTTTCTCTTGCTTTGAGCTCGCATGGTAATGCCAATGCGTGCTAGGCATCATGGCAGGGTCCAATAACTAACGAGACCGTGCTGGAAGCAGGTAACGGCGCGGGGGGGTTAGGGGGTGAACCCTTATCTCGGGCGATCCTTGGTGGGACTCGGACCCTGAGTCCTTTGCCCCACCGACACAGACAGAAGTGAACCTTGGTGAGCTGAGCAAATGCATGCAGGGTCACCGGAACATGTACCTACCTACTGTGCTGTCCACAGCTCGCTTGACTGATGCGTAACGAGACAAATTAGGTCCTATAACCAGATGCATACTTCTAAATCTTGTCAAGTTGTTGTATCAGCATATAAACCCAATTCAACAAATCATTGTTGCATGTGATTTGTGCCCGTCCCAAATCCCGAAGATGGGTTTGTTAGCTCCCGAAAGCACCGACACTCTGCTCGCGTCTAGGTGCATGGTACATACCTAGTGGCGTCTTTCCCCTCCCCTTTCCCTTATCCGTACCTAGAGCCAGGCACGGTGGCAAATGATCAAGCTGCCAACGGACGGACGGCAGCTCGCCATTGGCTGCGGCCAGCGCCGGGCCCTAATTGGTTCGGCTGCCGACACCGTTCTCATTCGCTAGAGGCCCTTGACGCAAACATGATCTCACAGCTTGACAACAAAGTCGAGTAATACTAAAATTCAACCATGTGCCACAAGAATTGCCATATACCAAATACATCGAATTCTTTTGCAAGGGCGAGTGACATACCGGTACTCTATCGCGTATTCCGCACCTTACCTACTCTATCGCATCTTCCTTTAGTTGCCGTATTTCCAGACCAACACCAACACTAAGCCACCTATTTAGTCACCAAGCAGATGCCATCTCGACCCGACAACAACATGGCTTGTGCATCCAATGAGCCCCAGGCCGAGCCATGCAACTTCTTTCTACTCCCTACTAGTACCAGCTCCGGATCTCCTTGCCTTGTTGACGTCGTCGACAAGATCCAAACGGTAAGCGCTCCATTTCTCATCCATATCCTCTCGTGACTCATATTTACGTTCAGCGCCAGATACACCAAAAAGCCCATACGCTGAACTACCTCATCCAACGCCATGATCTCGAACGAACCCTCGATAAAACATGTAGCATCGCCGACACGAGTCTATCGACAATGGCCGGACTCGCTGCGGACATCAGTCAGGCTTTGGACCTAATCCTACGCCATGGGCTGCTGCATGGTGCTTCATCGTCCAAAGCCAACGTCGTGTCAAGATCAAGAACAAGGTCCAAGTCTCTGCGTCCCAAAAAGGTGCTGTCCAGGCCTTGAATTTATTTAACACTGTCCTGAATGTCCTCCCACTCCTCCCACTGACACTGAGAATAGCATACGGAGACAATCAAGCGCTGTTATTTGTGTGGCATCACAAATACACCTCGCTGGCGAGGAGACCCTTCTGATCCATATCCCCTCTGTAATTTCTGCGATTTGGTCCGGGCAAAGAGATGTGCCCGCATATCTGCTCGATTGCATTCTTGCAACTCTAGGAAGTCGGTGGGAGTAGCACGTTCCTGCCTTTAATTTCTCTCCCTGTTTTTCGTTATGCTGGAGTTCCTTATATCCTCTAGCGGTAGTTGTGTTTTTCGCGTTTATCTTATCCACTGCTCGCCCGGTTTCCATTTAACAATTTTTTGTTATCTACTCTCCAAGTCATTGACACCAGGCGCTGTGAAACAACCAGTATCAATCACCTTCTCGTCTTGGGATGGGCATTCCTCTGGGCATTCCTCGCTCATGCGATCAGTCTGCTCTGCAAGCTTGCCACCTTGGGCGTGTTCAGGATCTGTTAGTGCAAGGTTCAGATCAACCATCCACTTCGCCATTACTCCGCTCAACTCGTCGTCGTCGTCTTTGACCTTGTAACGTTCTCCGATTGTCTTGAGCCTACAAAGGTAGCGGCAAAATTCTTGGTGACTTAGAACCTTTTCCCGAACTGCTATGCCGAGCATTCCCTTGGTGATCGAGCCAAAAACTCTGTAGGACATAAACAGTTCTTTCAGACCGGCCAAGCATAGATGTAGGAAAAAGAGCATCTCGTCCCGGTTGGTTTCAACATCGCGTATTGTTGCATTTGCCACATATATGACGCACGTCTGCCAGAGGACTGATGATGCCTTCAAGCTAAATTCGAGTCGGTATGAGAGTAAAAGGCGTTTCATTTGACGGATTGAGGCGTGATACACAGCCTTGGGTGTCGCCCGGTCTGTGCCGAATGTGCGCAGCATCGACCTGGAATGATCCGTCATGTTCACGAAGCGGCGAAAAACATCGGTGACGATGGCGTGGTAATAAATACTGAAAACCAAGTCAGCCCCAAAGCTCTTAAACAGGATAGAGAGTGAAGTAACTTACTGCAACATGAAGACAGCATGACTACTCCCTTCGCAGCGAACCAGACTCAGAGGCAGTCCGTCCGCCCAGGCCAGAAGCTGGCGGTAGATGTCTTCTGCAAAGTCGAGCGCATTCCTTCGGTCGAGCCAGATGTGGTCGTTTTGCCCGTAGTAAGCCTTGGTCACAGCGGTGAAAATTGTCCAGAGTTTACAGGTGGCATTAAAGACCTCGTTGGTGGGCGGTAGGACTTGGTCACCTTCTTCCGCGGCGATGACAGCTTCAACATCTCCTGGCATAAAAAGCCCCGGTGGAAATTCAAGCTCAGACTTGTGGTATTGGAGCGAAAAGACTCTAGATAGATTCATGGTGTTTAGCCGCAAGCTGAGTAGTGGCCAATTAACGGCCAGGGTGGTATTGACTCACGAGACCCAATTGAAGGTACCCCATGCTACATACGACGCGGCTCTCGTCCAGTCCGCATGGCCGCTGAACCACGTATCCGCTGGCTCTGCTCCAGATGCCAGGTTGACAAGACCCATAGATTTTGCAACTTGCAGTCCTTCCCGGAGATATTGAAAGGCAAGGTCGTCTTTTCCATGGGTAACGGCAGTCATGCAGAGAAGTTGCAAGGCAGACACATTGGACAGAGTGATAGATTCACGGTTGCCATACTGACTCCACTGAGCTCGGGCGTCAGCAAAAAAGGCCGTAGAGTAATGGGCAGCCTCTGGGTGCATGGGAGTGTAGGCTTGCTGTCAAACATGAAGATGAGTGTTGGCTATCAGGCTCATTACAGAAGACAGGGGCTTTTATGTTTCACTTACGCATGCCCAAGCCAGGAGTGCTGCAACCAGGAATCCGGAGCAGAAGTAGGGCTGGTTGTGAACAAGATCGCGGAGGAACAAGTCGGCGTCGAAAAGGGGAAGAACAGGATAGTCGTTGTTGAGGTAGAGGGCAATCGCTTCGACTGCTACTTGGTTAGGGATGGGAAAAGTTGTCCAAAAAGATATGTTGATTTGGTCAAGTAGGCGGATGTGCGATTCAGTCAGATGCGACAACCCTGCACAAGACCTAGTCGGAGCAGCATCGCCTTTGTTCATGTTCGCACGTGACAATTCTTGGTGACGGAAATATTTGGTATCTTCCAGTGGAGCTTTGCCAAAAGCTTCGGGCCTCCGAGGAGCAAGCAACTCTCTAAGAGGCAGGGAGCTGACCGTGACAGGAAGCAAGATTGGGTAAGCAATTGGGTGCCGAACCATGAGCTCAAACTCCATTCCAGAGGACGCAGGAGGTAAAAGGCTTCCTACAATATTGTATTGGGGAGGCGACGGCGAAGGGGGCCATGAGGGCAGTGATGAGAGCGGCGATGATGATGATGATGCCCGACGTTGAGGTTGAGGTTCAGGTTGAGAATCGCGTGGCATCTCACGGAGCATGTTAAGCAACTCCAAAGCATCATGATATGGCAGCGTTGTGAGGAGTTTGGAGAGTGCGCCGGGCTCCTTGAGGATACGAGCCAGTCTTTCAAGTTGGGAAGAGCTCGCTGCTGGTTCCGGGCCATAGCGATACTGGCATTGCAAGCCCCGTTCGGTGCAGTTGAAGCATTCTGGTCGACCACGGTCGCACTGCAACGCCAGATTCACATTAGCTCGATATTGCATTGATTAGTCTTGAGGGCAGCGCAAGTTGTGGTGCTCGTGGTAACCAGAGGCAGGCAGATAGCGACCTTCCACTCAGTGTTGATGGGAAGATGATGGATGTGGCCAACCTTTTTCTTGCGTTTTCGGCAAGTCTCACAAGCAGGGACCTGCCCAGCTTTGCGAGCGCGGCCCCCCGAGGCTAAGACTGAGCTCGAAAGCGACAACGAAGTCGAGGTCGACGTCTCGGGCGAAGAATCATCATCATCATCATTCGATAATGGCTTGGCCGGTTTCAAAGGTCGTAGCTGCTGCATATGCATGTGAAAGCACTCATATCCTGTTTGTGCGTAGTTCTATGTGTTGCCGCACGCAAATGCCCTGTTTTAAGTTGTTTTAAGTGATCCCTCTATGGTTTTTGCCACCTTACTCTGCTTAGACGGTCTGTAGTGACTCGGACATGGCAAGGGATCTAGTCCTGCTTAGGTAAGGTCGGTTATCGCCTCGCTTCGTCATTGGTTCCGCAAGGTGATGATCCGTCCATCATCGCCTTCGCCGACAAACCAAATTCCGATTTCGATCGATATGGGATTCTTCGATCGATATGGGATTCTTCGATCCATATCTTTAAAGTCGATTCTAGTCAATCTGTGTGCCCACATGTTGAATGGATACCATATCCAAAATCTACTACATAGTAGCTCTTGGTAACTACACTGCTGTAAATTCTCAAAATCTTATCTCAACCTGATTTTAGGCAGTAGATGTCATATTCGCCACTATGACATAATGCCCATAATACTCATTAGATTTCTAAGGCATATTAGCAAAGTTAGTATAGTAATTATATATATTTTCTCTTAATATACTACTAATATAAAGGTAATTAATTAATAGTTAAAGCTTATAATATCTTAATAAAATATATTAAGCTAATATATTAAAAAATATTAATTAACTTTAAGCTTCTAAAGGCAATATATATATAGCCTTTATAAAAATAAATCTTTTAATTAAAATTAAAATAATATACTTTTATAATAACTTAATTAATAATTTTATTAATAGCTATTAAGGTATAAAAAGCTAGTTTAAATTTAATCCTTTATTACTAAAAGTAAAAGAAATCTTTATATAAAAAAACTATAAACTATAAATTATAAAAAAAATAACTCTTTTTAATAAAAAAATTACTTTTTAAATATTTATTAACTATTTTTAATTTTAATAAAATTATAAAAATAATTAATCCTTTATAGATTTATAGCTTTTAAATTATAAATTACTTTAAATACTTATTAAAGACCTATTTAATAAAATTAATAAATATTTTATTTTTTTAAAAATAAAAAATAATAAAAAAGATAATCTTATTAAAGTTAAATTAATAAGCTTTAATTATTACTGCTTTAACTTTTAATTTAATTAATATTTTAAAAAATATAAATTCTTTAATAATTAAATAAAAAAACTAAAAGAATTTACTTAAAAGGTTAAAAATAAAATAGAAAATCTTAATAATAGGATTTTCTTAATAAGCTTAAAAAGTAATAAGCTTTAATTATAAAGCTTACTTATTAAATATATAATAATATAAAGAAATAAAGATTAAGTAATTATATTTAGCTTTTAAGATAAGTAAATAGACTTTAATATAAAAGCTTAATCTTCTAAATATAGCTACTAATAAAGTTATATATAGTATAAATAAATACAGTTAAAATTATATTAAGTTCCCTTAAAAAGGATATAAAGGTAAATAGAAGCGGTTCATATTGCCAAATTCGAACTTTCTTATCAAGCTATAGAGTATGTTATTTGTATTCTATAGTATTGGGGGCTGGCGACTTGCGGATCGAGAGCCTTGTGTATCCATCCAGAGCGCCTATGTTGGAGCCGATATCAGGCGTTCAGAGGATCTCTCCTAGCCGAGACTGGTCCAGATGAATTACTTTACCTGTAGTGTTAGTTTCTGTCAAGACAGTACTGATTGAGACTAACCGCGGCAAATTCATCAAGGAATTTAAATAGCATTAACATTAGCGCTATGTTATTCTCATATATGTTTCAAGTAGATCTTATACTCAACTGCTTGGCTGCTAACTACAGACTTCGAGCCTCAAGTCCCTTAGCTAATAGTGCTGTCTTTATTGTAGCGCCTATCTCTGAGCCACCTGTCGTCTTGGGGCGGGGCAGCAGGCAATAGCTGCTCCTCGATGGGGCATCAGTGCATAACCCGTTTCACACCAAGTGCCGCTGACTAACCCTCCCCCATCCATTCCTGAGGATGAGAGGACCCTCAGTAGATTGAGGGTATAGCTATGAGTTTATACTGCCATTAAGTTAGCATTAATTTACCAAGGGTTCGATGTTCGTTGTGGATAGATGTTTCCTTTTGTTCTAGCTATGCTCTGTCAGTGTGGGGCCTCGGGTTTGCCGAGGGGACGAAAGAGATAACTATTGGTGTATGGTCGATATCTTTATTTGCTAGCAGCCGAGGGTCTCGGGAAGCAACTACTGTGGATATAAATGGATGTTATCTGTAAGTCCAGTACCGAAATCTGGAATTATAACATTGACCCGATACATTGAGGAAATATTATATAAGGTCAAGGTAATGGTATCTCTCAGAGACTCACTACCTCACATTCTTCATTCAGCCTTTAGAAGACCAACCCTGGAGCAGTAGACATTTTAAACAATCCCCGGCAACCTTGAAAATGACCTCCATACGAGACGTCGATATCACCACCTATGATGGCTTGAACTTGAAGGGAACCTTTTATAGCGTTGGGTCCAACAAGCCTTGCATTATCATGACCCATGGAGTGAGTCGACCCATACACTGATGCAATACAGATCCTAACTGGAAGTTACAGTTCTCTGGTCACCGTGATCATTTCCTGCCCGAGCTCGCTGCCAAGTTCAACGACGCTGGCTATGGAGCATTGGTTTACGACAACCGATGCTGGGGTGATAGTGAGGGCCTCCCTCGCGCTGAAGCCGATCCTGTCAAACAGTCACGAGATTATCTCGACGCCTTCAATTTCGCTGCAGCCCTTCCTGATGTCGATCCCACCAAGGTCGTGTACTGGGGATCCAGCTTGTCCGGAGGCAACGCTATTGTCGCCGCTTCCATGAACAAGAGCCTGGCAGGCATTATTTCACAAGTCCCTTTTGTATCGGGTGGTTCCATGGCTCGCCTTACCGCAGCTCCGAAACCTATCCTAGTCGCTCAACGCACCCCGAATTCAGAGATCCACATCCCGATCTATCCCAGCTCCGTCGAGGAGGTCCGAGATGGGACCACCAAGGCCATTCTGAAGGATGAGGGAGCCGTCGAGTTTGCAGCGGAAATGGCCCGACGAGGCTACAGCTACGACAAGACGGCTACTCTTCAGAGTTTGACCAACACGATCATGCACGAGCCCACGGGGGTTATTCATCACATCTCGCCTACGCCACTGCTCATGGTTCTGGCGGATGACGATGTGTGCACCTATACTCATCTGCAGCTTGAGGCCTTTGAGAAGGCGTTGCATCCCAAGACTCTCAGAATTGTAAAAGGGAGTGGCCATTTTGATCTGTACTACGGTAAGAGGTTCCAGGAAGTGGTTGCCATGCAGCTTGAGTTTCTCAAGGGCATCTTGTAGAATAGAAAGACCAGTCCAGGAAATATATAGAGTGCGAGACTGGATAGATATTTAAATCGAATAGAGGCCTTTCTTGTTACCTCTATTGCGCTTCGGATAACGCATAATACCCCGAGACTGCTACAGACAAGATCCACAAGATGTGAGCCAGATGAGCTAGAAACCTCGGCAGAAGAAATCGGTATGTGAGCCGACAAGGACTTACTACCTACCTAGACCTTGATAATTTCTTAGTCAACATTTTGAGTTTCGGATCGTGGGGACCCCATAATTCGTTGGAAATCGCGGAACATGTCTTCTGTCCGAGTGCGAGTGTAGTAGCCACACTAACCTGGTTTGAGCCGTCTTCCCCGCAATCATACCGTAGCTTCCAGTCCCCCCCCTTGAGCTCCTTCTCAAACCTTCATAATAACATAGGTATTCACAGAGCCATTGCCCAAAACCAATGTTAAGTATCTGATCAGCCCCCATTTGATGGAAATCTCAGAATGTCTCCAGCCTCAAAACCCGTCACACGGTCCAAAGCCCTCCACAAGCGCTCGCTACAGGCGTGTCTGATTTGCCGGTCAAGAAAAGTCCGATGCGACGTGTCAATCCATGGACCGCCATGCACAAACTGCTCTCTGGACGATAAAGAATGCCAATTATCAAAAACATCAGCTGTTTGGTAGGTCGTAAACTTCTCTGCTCCCCTGCTTATATCGGTTGACGCGTTATTCGTAGGACCCAGACCGCTTCCGATAGACGATCCTTGCGGAATGCAATAAAGACCCCCGACACCCGAAGCAGTGACCTTGCCTCAAATGTGACTGAACAGCTCAGTCTGGATAGTCAGTTATCGCTACCGCAGCTGACCAGCTCAAGTTTCTCGTTACAGACGGTGGGCGCTGGTGAGCCATGGCAAAATTGGCAGATGGACCCTCTGGACTTTGGCCCCATACCTGAATCTGCCGTTCACGATGGCTGGAGTTCCTCCATGCCCACTGAGAAGCAGCCTCGTTTGGACCCTATTGGTGAGTAGCAATGTGACTTGCCACGCGACACAAAATCTCTAACAACAAGAAAGGAAATATCTTTCAGCACAGTACAGGGTCACCAAGTGACGCAGGAAGCCCAAAGGATGGGGTCGTTCTATACTCCTACTTCCAGTTTCTGACGGTCGGGAACCTTCATGCCATTCCCTATCAAGATGTCACTTATCTCGAAGCTCAAGGGTGCTTGCACGTGCCAAATCCCCTGATCTTGGATGTCTTTATGAAGGCGTACTTTACATATGCCCATGTATCCGTCCCTCTCATTGACGAGGGAGAGTTCTGGCAAATGTCCTCTCCAGCCACAAGCAGTTCACAAAGGACCACCATGTCGCTTCTCGTCCTTCGGGCAATGCTATTTGCTAGCAGTACTGTATGTTTCCCTTAAGGCTCCTGGCCTGTTTTGGTCGAGCTACCTCCTAATGTCGTGCATAGTATGTTCCACTTCCTGTCCTGCGTCAAATTGGATATCATGACATATGCTCCGCAAGGGCTGATCTATATCGAAAAGCAAAGGTAAGTCCAGATTTTCACATAACGACCAAGGCTGACTGAAAGTGTAAAGCTTCTGTTTGATATGGAGGCTGAGACATCTCATTTACCGCTGGCTCAGGCTGCGTTGATGCTTATGAATTGGGTCCCCGAATCACCTACGACAACTTCACCTGTGCCTTACAGAACATGGCTAAGCCTAGCGATCCATCACGCTAAGCTCATCAATGCACACCGCCACAGTGGGATATGCGACGTTGGAACAACAGCAAACGAACCAGAATCAAGAACACTTCGAAGGCTTTGGTGGTGCTGCATTATCTGTGACAGACTATCATCTCTCTCCTGTCGCTTTCGTCTTCAGATCACGCCTGATATGCTCGACATGGAGAACTGCATACCGTTGGGTTTCGCCGATTTACAGAGCGAGATACATCGATCCAATGTTTTCTCGCCTGCCACCAAGCGCCAACATATCTCACTGTTCTCCAAGAACCTGAGCCTATTAATGTTGCTGACGGACATTATTCCGGTTGCGTATCCTTTTGAGACGCGGCTCGAGTCAAGTCCAGACTTCTCGGCGCAGGAAGAAGAGAGTATCAGAAACTCCTGCGATCGCCTTGACGAGTGGTATAATACAGCCAAGGCTGAATTTCCTCCCTTCCATCAAATCACCACAGCCGAGGATAGTGATTCCGCCAAGTCGGTTGCAGTACATACAAATCTAATGTACATTTACTACCAGTATGTTTTGGAAGTCCTAGTCTCCATGAAGTGTGATCTAACAACATCCAGCACTTCTTATGTTGCTCTTTGCAGTCGCAGAGTCTTCACGCAGATTTCTGGAACAGGGAGTCCCGACTTTCATCTTGAAGATTTCCCAGACGGCAACAGAAGTAATGAGATTCGTGGAGATATTGAAGACTCCATGCAGGGTCTATCTAAATGCATAGGCGCACTAACCGGGTCTCACTTGATAAAGTATCTTCCCATCACAGTGTAAGTAAACCCAAATCCCCCTTCCGATTGCTGGTGAGCGTTTGTACTGACTTGACTACTATAAAGTATGGGCTGCCTTGCAATTCCCCTTGCGTTGCACTATATAAACGCAAGTCTATGCTACGAAGACGACGAAGTCCCAAGTCATCTCGAAGCGTGGCCCGACTTTAGTCTCGACCCCACGCAGAAACACCTACAAGTCGTGCTAGACGCAACCGACACCTTCTCAGCTCAATACTATGGTTCCCAGTGGGTCAGGGACGCAGCAGAGCACGTCGCGAAACTAGCCAAGTCGTTCAACAAGCTATCACTGCAGTCAGGTCAAGAAGCAATGAAAGACTGGGTCGATGTTCTAGTGAGACATCCAGAAGCATATCTGGGTCTTGTGTGGACTGTAGACATGTGCGTTAGTCGGAGGAGGCTCCCTGAGAGTTTAGATTTCCCGTTGTGCCTACGAAATGATGTGGAGAGGCTTAACGCAGCACCTAAACAATCAGACCATGAGATGCTAGACTCTGAGTCACTGAATGGGCAAAAGGACATTCAGCTTACGCAGTCACTAGATTATCTCTTAGGTATCCAGGAACCCATGATAGATGTCTTATAAGACAGCATCATTAGTAGTTAACAGCAATAATCATTAGTTATTCAAGCTTATTCATATCTCGGCGACTAGGTGTTCACTAGTCTTCCTGTCATCCCCTACTATTCAGCTTTCATAGCAAACGGGCATCCAGGACCACTCCACTCGGACCTGATATACTGGCAGTACGCTTGATCGCTCCCCCTGATATCCTCTTTCCTCGCCTTGGCCTTCTCTACGTCCAGCGTCTCAATCTTCTTCCAAAACGACTCCCGCGGGTCTGGTAAGAGTGTCTCAGCAAGACTCATCGCCGTTCCAACAAAAAGCACAATTAGCCACTGAAAGACGGGGTTGACGGGTTCTAGCTGCATTGCCCTAATAGTTGTAGGCAGTGTAAGAGCTTTAACTATTGACACTCCCAGCCATCGAAAGCCGTAGGGAAAGTATCGGAACGCGAACTGATTGAAGATGGCCAGGCCGATGTATTGCATCTTCACATCGAACTCGCGTTTCTCATTTTCATAGTCTTCGCAGAATTGGATGCAGCCCTCAAAGTCTTCAGGATATCCGGTAACAGAGTTCCCGTCCTCTCTGATGAATAGCGGCGTCATATCCCGCCAAAAGTGGTGAGCTGCAATCTTTTCCTTCTCAGTGAAACCTGACAATCCCAATCTAAGACGAAGACGGTGCATGAGTACAGCACTGAAAGTCGTGACGTACAGAAAGTCTTCGTTGTACGAGAAGTTGCCAGGGTAACGACGCGCCAGAGACGCATGAAGGTTGTTGATGTGCTCTACTGCATCACGACATCTTTTATCGCTTGGTCCGTAGTGCCACCACGTCATGTTGTAGTTTTCGGTATCTTCGACGCGCTGGGCTCCCCGCTTCACAACCTTGCCACCGTCTGAGCGCCAGACAGTTTCGCAGCCGTGGGTGGTGATGATGAAGTTGGGAAATGTAAGGGCGTAGATCATGTTGTTCATGAAATCATTTGAGCGGTAGCAAGACATGAGCCGCCACATCAGTTCATAGTCGGTCTCTGGATCGAGGCTGTTGATGGTGTCATTGAGCCAATGATAGCCTCCAGGGGATATTTCTTTAGACATGATTGATGAATTGATAAAAAGAATTAAGCCAGACAAGTTTGGTAGATTATCTTGTGATTGTAGTATCCATTCTGAAGTTTTGATTCATAAACGTTGTCTATATCATCGTTTTCAATTGATTGTACCTTCGCTCTCCGTAAATTGATACGATATCGTACCGATAGTTCCCCGTGGGGAAACACGCGGCAGGGTGAACTCAAAACGCGAAGGCCGCTGACTAAGCGGTTTTCCTTTGTCTCTCCAACCGCCGAGTTTCATCAAGTATTACCAACTGCCGATTCTCAGATCCGATGCTCTTCATACTTATGTACAGGTACAATTTCCATAATCTCTTTTACTGAGACACAATAGCGGAGTCACTGGCAATCACTTGCTGTCAGTGTTGTCGTTACGTTAAAGGCGCTCATACTATGACGCGCGACGCGTTTTATTACTCTACGTCATTGGCTTTTTGTGGCACCAAAATATTGGAAATTACCACTGTGTCTGCTCAAACCACCGCTGAGAATCACTAGCAAAAAAATGACCCAGCTCAAGCTCATCTCCAAACCCAAGCGTTGATGTCTCCCACGTCGGCATCGTTGATAGCAAATCTGACTCAATGTCGAAATTAAGAGGGCCCCCTTCCGCCGTCAGGTAAGATCCCAAAGATTCACTATGAAGGTCGGCTTGGGTCGCGGTACTCGCATCTAAAAGTTTGTCAATGATGTGATGGGTGATGAAAAGTTGATAAGGAATACTAACCCCAGGCGCTCACGATCCGGAGCAGTTGTTGTACAAATTTGACACAACGTAGGACAAGGGTGTTGTTATCACTGAGCTTCAGAAGAGCCTCGCAAGTCTTGCCGAGATATCGTTTCGCACTTTCGAGGCGCCCGGCGTTTCCAGCTTCCGCGCCGACAGATATCAACAAGCTACCGAAGATGGCCAACGCTGCACTGAAGGCTGTTTCATAAGTCAGATCACCATAAGAAATCCTGAGGTTGGTCGCTTACCATAGTAGAGAGTAAACCACCAAGCCCCGATCAAATGGCGCCCATGATCGGGTCTTGTCAAAATGGTGTATATAATATCTATGATGTTCTCCGCAACTTGGACAAAGACTCTGTCAAAGTTGGCGTGCATGCTGTTGATTGATCCCGCGTTGCGATATGGCGTTTTGGCCTCTCTAAGCAGAGTACCTAGAGACCGAATGAATATCGGGCGATGGAGGAGGAGTTGAACGTTGAGATATCTGAGCGTGAGGATTATCCTGAACTTTTCGCGCAATGGATCCTGAATATTCTCATCCGTGTTGTCTGGCATGTTATCGACAGAACGCAAACCCAGATGCTGAGGCAAGCTGTTTTGCCAGTCTGAAAGCTCCTGGCCGAACTGGATCATGGATGTCATTGTGGCTGTATCTGATGATTGGTCTTCACATCCAAGGTTGCTACCATAAAGTGAGCCAATGATTCGCCCCATGATCCTATAAAGAGTTCTAGACAGGTCAGGTCAGCGGATCATATTTGAGGTACTATGGTTTCTTACATCGAGGCGTTGTAGAACGCAGTGCTCATTTTATGGACTTCATCGGAAGCCGATATCGGTACTGGTAATATTTTTGGGAGATCCAAACGGATGTACTCTTCTGGTATAGCAGATGGGCGACCAAACGTGAGGCTCAGACTTCTGCGTAGTTGTGTCAGCTGGGACATCATATTTTCTGCAGTAGTCTTGTTAATGCGGAAAACCAACCTATCGAGCAAAATGCACCCGAACCAAGTGCGTTTCCTGATCTCTTGCTGCAGAGGAGTGAATTTGGACGCAATATCTCTTGAGTGGAGTCCGATAGACATGGCAGCTTTGACGGCGAGGCCATGAATGGTCCACGTATGAACCGACTTGTGCGTCCCTTGGAGATATTGACTCGTGAGTAAGAGGTATTGTACTAAAGAGTGTCAGTTCCAAGACGAGAGGCATAGTCAAAAGAGGTTATCTACCTGTTTCAAGAGTAGTCCCCCTAAACATCTGTGTATGGCAAAGCTCCTGGGCTCTGCGGTAGTAAACATCCGACTCTTCAAAGGTGGTCTCGCTTCCCGAGTCCTCCCAGCACGAAGTGCAAGTTGCCATTGCGAGAATCATGTTCAGCAAGCCAAGCCAAGTCCGGCGAACATTACCCCGAAAGCCACTTGCTCGAAATCGCTCATAAGTGTCGAGAAACTCTTGCTCGTGTATATACGGAAACAAGAGCCCCGTGTTGTCAAAGTACGCGCGGATGAGACGCTGCATGACCTCGTCTGGCGGTAGGAGGTTGGCGCCCGCCTTTTGAGACTCGCTGGAGACTGCTGGAAACGCGTTCAGATTACTCACTAGTCCACCTTCGTAGGCACTATACTCTGATGCCGGTGTTAATGAACTCTGATTACCATGTTGTGTCCTTTTTGTATCAACAGCTCGCAATATGTGTCGCATGAGTGCGATGTTGGATGACGGGCCTAGAGAATGGGTTAGAAGAGTACAACAAAAAGGACAGACGGGATTTGCATACCAAAGAAACCGCAGTCTTGCTCATCCACGAAAGACACGGCCATGCCATCAGTCATACTCTGACCAGCACCATTCTCTGGTATCTCATCAATATTGACCACCACGTTTCCTGGTTGATGATGTAGTGGAAGCGTGACATCTTGCCTAGAACTTCCTGAGGTTTTTAGTGTACCCTCAACCAAATTCAGTCTAACATTATGCTGTTCAATATTTGTTTCCAAGAGCTTCACTTTGGCCTCTAGGGCAGCAAAAATACTGCACACATCTTCATGTTAGACATAATTCATAACAGTCCAGGGTAGTGAAAGAGAGACGCCTTACTCTTTTGGGACTAGAAGATTCGCTGAGGTTTCCTGCTGTTCATAGGAACAATCGAACCCAAGCTTGTCGCATGTGTCACATCTTGGTCGCACTCCATTGCACTAAACCCATCAGTCAATCGTCCAATAACACGTAAGAAGCAGACTCTACCCGTGATTTGCGGATTCTGCAGGCCGAACAGGCCAACGCGACTCGGCGTCTCTTTGGCGCGGGCTCCGACGCGTTTGCTTTTGGCGGCTGAGATGTTCCGCTTCTGGCCGAAGCTGGTGGAGAGTCATCTCGGGGGGTCATGATGGTACGATTGGAGATGCAACGAGTAGCCTTGATCGGGGCAACATTGGGATGGGCCGATTTTTGTATCCAGGTTGACAAATCTTGTCTCCGCATTTCCCCAGAATTAATGAGACAAGAAACTGGGGGTTACGGCACTTCCAAACTCTGTTCCATGTTTGGTTTGGCTTGTGTTGATATGGCCAATTGGAATGGCGCGTTCTCTTCCGTCCCCATCTCGCTTCTGGTGTTTGCGGAGTTGGAGGTTACGCCTTTGTTCCACTGGCGCAAATACATTTCCCTCAATTGGTTCAGTGACTGCTCTAATATCCACTTGACTGTGTGAGCTCCACTTCCGGGGCATCATCGGGATGGACGGGACAAGAGGCAGGTATCAAAACGGGCACAAGACATATACTTCCTGCAGTGAGCTTTAGTTGTCGAAGAATTATAGTGACAAGGAATTAAGCACATCAAAAATCACAATGAAGGTAGCTTGGCAACGTTTGATCCGATTCGTCTCAACTGACGGGCGTCTTTTGCGCGGAGAGCCCATCCTCCCGACTCCTGATTTTGATCTCGGAGATACCACTGAAGAGACGAAACTCAAGGCTCGAGTCATCGAGGGAGATGACCTTTATGACACAACTGGTGCCACTCGTGTTACAGATGAAGTAGTCACAGTCAAGACCTTGTTAGGACCCCTTGTCGCTAGCGATGTATCCATTCTCAGATGCGTGGGACTCAACTATGCTACACACAGTAAGTAATTTTGACATCAGCGAGCAAAAATATTCCCAAGACTCGTACTAATACGGCGACAGTTCGTGAAGCTGGACGCAAGACACCGCCTTTTCCTTCCATCTTCTTCAAGCCTTCTACAACAATACATGACCACGGAGTCAACGTGGTGATCCCCAAAGTCGCCCAGGATGACCAAGCAGATTACGAGGGAGAACTGGTACGCTCCAAGCCTTACTATTACAGATGCATACTAACAGATCTAGGTCGTGATCATTGGGAAGGATGCCAAGAACATCAAGGAGAGCGAGGCTCTTGACTACGTCGCCGCTTATACAGCAGGCAACGACATTTCCTCTCGAAAATGGCAGAGAGATCCGAATCTCGCTGGTGGAGTGCCGCAATGGGGCTTCTCAAAGGGTTTCGATACCTTTGCGCCTCTAGGTCCTGCCCTAGTTTCAAGTTCTGTCATAACAGCGCCTGAGAAACTCCATCTGCAGACAATTGTGGACAAGGAAACCCGACAGGATGCAGGTCTTGATGACCTTGTGTTTTCTATTCCTCGTTTAATTGCACACCTTTCGTCCGGAACTACACTACAGAAAGGAAGTGTTATTATGACGGGTACTCCAGGAGGTGAGTCATCTTAATAAGTAATGTTTGTGTGAGCTTGAACTGACTTGTGAATGTGTAGGTGTTGGTGCTGGCTTACAGCCACCAAAGTACTTGGTACCTGGTACCCAGATGGAGGTCAAGATTACACAGATTGGCACTCTCAAGAACGGCGTCGATTACGAATAGTTAGGGAATGCTAGGATGAAGAATAAATAGACATATATTCATAGAAAAGCAATAGACCTCGATGCATTCAAGTTTTTGTCGTACTTGTGATATATAGAGTTCAGTATTGTAAACATCAATTGGTGAAAAATAACAGCTTATGGATAGAAGACAAATTGTTATTCAGCCTCCAGGGTCGATATAAACTAGCTATGAAGGGAGTGAAGCTTGAGAGAAAGAAAAGAACAGCTACATCAACAACAACAACACAGTAAACCAATCATAATAATGAGCGAAAAGTCCTGCCACTGCCCAGGGCCCCGGGTACCCTATGGCAAGCATACCAGTTTCACTACTATGCCAAAGTACAGCCCACCTAGATAGAGGTAGCAGCAACTCGCTGAATGAGGAATTGGGGTGCAGGTCCAGAAGCATCTGACTGATAAGCCAGATGGGGAGCAGCAACGATCAAGGAGCCAGTGCAAACCAAGTCTCCAACGTTGCAGAAAACCAGGGTTCGCTCTCGTGGGTAGTTTGGAATGCGGCCAAGATTCTGCAGGTTCTTGGTATATCCGAACAGGACAGTACCGACGACCTTGTTGCGGACAGAAGTACTGAGATCCTCGATACTGGCTGCAGCAAGGGCAGCACCTTGACTATACCCTCCAGCAACGATCTTGGCAGAAGGGCACTTTGAGTTTGCAAGGTTGAAAAGACCAATCATTTCTCTGATGGCTGCCGAAGAGGTACCTCGAGGAAGGGCATTGTCGCCAAGGGTAGCACGGTATGCTCCACCGACCTGCGATTCAAACAGTCAGAAGTTGAAACTGGATATTAGATAGCTAAGGTACTCACTCCTTGGATCCAGACTCCATTGCTACCGTAGTTGCTTTCAAGCACAGAAGCAACTCGAGGACCAAGCGTTCCCTATCAAGTCAGCCAACGCGATCTATATCACTAAACACAGACCTAACTCACCAAGTTTCCAAGCTCAGTGGAACCCCGAGCATAGATGAAAATAACAGGGGGGCAAGCAGATGAAGCGCCGTTGGAAAGATCATCACGAGTGATGCTTCCAGATTGGCGTTTCTCGAGCTCAGCAAGAACTTCACGTTCAGAGAGAGGGTTGGAAGTGGGAAGGGCGACAGACGCAGCGGCGAAGAGTGAGAGGATGGTGGTGAACTTCATGATTGATATGAGTTAGTGATTGGACTGAAGTGTTCTTGTGAGTTGCTGGTGATTGTGAAATGATCGAGAGGCTTGTGAGGTGAAGAAACTCATTTCGACGGGATAATCACGTCTATTTATCATAATTTCTCAAGTTGCTTCCTCTCTACTATTTTCTTCTACCCCTTTACTCAATTCCATCTCATCATCTAACGATTCCCTCATCTTGCCCGCTTACCTACCAAGCCTTCTCCAAACCTCGGCTCCATTCCTCAAGGAGGGGAAGCTCATACACACAAACATCTTACCTTCACTCATCATAAGACCAGGACCCCGCACTTCACAACACCACCATCAGCCTCTTCAACGAATCACTCACTAAAAGACTGTCTCAGGAACTATCGCACTAGAGTATAATTTCTCGGAGCTTCGTGACTCTGCATCGTTTTAGGAAATGCCAACAACGTTTTGTCGACCTAGCCTTTTCGGTAGCAATCTCACGATGCGGAACTCTACCGAACGAAACTCACTAGTTCCCTTGGTTAGTGTTGTTTGAATGGCGGGATATTTTAAAGAAGGACGCTAATCCAGGGTGAGATCATCTTGCGAAAATACCTAAACACCATGATTATACCGAGGTCATCTTATTTGAACAACAAGGGGAAAGATCAGCAGATGGACATTAACAGCCAAGATATTACCACCAAGATCAATGATTCAGCGGTCAAGAACTTAGAGTATTCCTCATGTGTGCTACGGCTTCCAGGTCAAATCAAGAATGATGGTAATTGAGGAGAGAATGGACCTCGGCACATCAGTTGAGTTGGACTTGGCACTGAGCTTATGCGTAATTTAACCAATAGTGAGAGTTTGGGACCTCTTTAAAGTGCCTCATGAAATTAAAGCAGCTGTTAACCTGAAACTATTGGCTAGATCTTTTAGGTGAGACAGGTGACTAGACATGGAGCCGAGTTAGAAGAGGGAAGAAAATGCCATTTCAGTGTCCCTTCTATATCGTTACACTGTCCTATATTTCATGCTACTTTGTCGCCATGTCTCTTCCCAAAACACTTTCTTCAATAATCCCGCGGCATTCAATACCACCTTAGTAGATATATATATATAAGTCTATGAAAGGCCAGCATGATTCGATTCCCTACCAGGCCTCTGCTATGAATCTCGCCACATACGTCGCTTGAAAGGTTCTAGGTTCTTTCTGCTGATTGAGGCGCTCAGTCGTAAGTCTCAACTGCAAATAACACATCTAGCTCAGAACTGAGAGCTTGGCAAGTTGAACAACACCTCCATAACTATTCTTATCGATTTCCTTGCTGTTTCTGGCTATGAGAATATCTCTTTAAGAGAATGGCATATTCTAGTCCAACACTCCTTGTAGATGATCTGCGCCTCCATGTTCCCATCCTGCGGTTTAACTGAGAACCCGTGAGTACCGCCTTCAAATTCATGGAAAGTGACTTCCTCGCCGCTTTTCGCAAGATTTTGCGCATAACAGAAACCCTCCTCTTTGAGGCAATCGAGGCTACCGCTGAACAGTACAGCAGGTGCAATATCTAGCTCACGGAGTAGGTCTACGCCAGCAGCGACGGGAGATACAAAAATGTCCTCTTTGCAGACTGTCGGCGGCAGATATGACTGCTCCATTGCTCTGGCCATCCAAGTGGGTAGACTGTGATTCTGGGCATCGCTTGTAGACCGGGCGAGTCTCAGATTGTACGGCAAGCGAAGCTCAAGGCTGGGATACAGCATGAAATGGAGGACCTGTTTGAAGTCCAGTGGTAGATGTTCCCTAAAGATGGAACAAGGACCACTTCGAAAGGATAGTAATAGTGATAACGCTGCTGTCAGATTACCGCCGGCAGAATTTCCTCCGATCGCAACGCGGCGCGGATCAACACAGATGCCTTCACGGGCAGCTGGGGATGTCATGGCCCAACGTAGCGCTTCATAAGCTTGCAGCAAAGCATGGGGATAAGGGTATTGAGGCGCTTTGGCGTAGTTAACCGACATGACAATTGCTCCAGTCTACACTGGCGTTAGCTGCGAGTAATTGCTGGGCATGTCGTAGGCTGCATACCTGTTCAACAATTCGACGGTTATTTAAGCGCCCATCCTTTGGATGTCCCAATACAAAACCACCGCCTTCTAGAACCAAGACTAACGGATGCTTTGGCTCAATCTCGTCTGTAGGGCTGGGTAGCCATATATTACAGATGACATAGCCCGCTCCCAAACCTGGGGTGCTGATTTTGACTCCCCGATCATGACCTTCATTTGGACCGGTCAGAAATGATACAAGCTTGCGCAGAGTCCAGGTGACGCAGTTGAGGTAGATTCGGTAGAGAAAGGGCCATTCTTGACCATCTGTTACAGTAGGTATGCTAACACGGCTCTGATCAGTGGTCATAATGTGAAGAGAGTTAGAAAAGATTTTAATTGATATGAGTAACCAAGTGGAAGAGCGCAGTAAATGTAGTTAAAGTGTGGCGCTAACTTATGTCAGTGCGCTGACACAGTATGTGAGTGAGATGTACCCGAGGGAGAGCATAACTTTAATTGAGACGGACATGTCCAAAACATCAGAATAGCAATTATAGGAAATAAAAATAAAAATCTAAGTAAGAGAAATCCTGTTGCTCTAAGTCCCCTATCAATTTACGCCCATCGTTTCCCGGATCTTCGCACAAAGAGCCGACGCAATTGGCTCCCTCATCATAGTAAAGTGGTTGGCATTCTCAATTGCCATTGTGCTAATGTTTCCAGCGCCAATGAACTCATCCCAACCATTCGGTCCAAAGTCCTCCCTGTTATTCAAGAGCCAGTTCATTCCCCGAGGATCGTCAGGCTGTGCCTCAGGACGGGGATCATCGGGGTTCTTGCACACACCATCTGCAGCCCAGATGATGGTTGTCTTGGGAGCCATACCATGCTCAAACGGTTCAGGCACGTACCTATCCAAAGCCTCGATGAAGACACAGAAGTGCTGGAAGAGCCAATCGGGAGGCGCTTGGGCTTCTTCTCCCATCTCGAAAGCGCCAAAGATACCTGACTTTTCGAGGAAGTCGTACATACGCTTTGGAAGCTTGCCGAGACCAACCGGGTTGGGGGAGTCGATCAGGATGAGGCTCTCGACTACCTCACCCTCAGAGACGAGCTGACGAGCAGCGTCGAAGGCTGAGACGCCTCCGGCTGACCAACCAGCAAGATGGTAAGGGCCTTGAGGTTGGCGTCGACGCACTTCGTTCAAGTAAGAGCCTGTGATGTCCTGGAGAGCACAGTTGAACTCATGTGGCTTGGTGAGGTAAGGACTGTTCAACCCAATGACTCTCATGTCGGACGAAATGGAAGGGAGAGTGACATAAGACGTTGCTGAACCAGCGCCGTCGGGGAACAGGAAGAGTGTTTGAGAACAGTGCTTGGTGCCCTGCAAGATCGTAGAGGTTGACCGAGGTATCTCTGCCACTACAGGCTTGACGTCTTCGACGACATCATCTCCATGGTCACTGGGGGATGTTGAAGCAGCGCCAGACGCAGAGCTCTCCGCCTCAGAGTTTGAGCTTGAGAAGTCCTGGTCGTTGGCTCCAAGGAAGGACTTGAGATCCTGAACTGTTGAGAACTCGTAGAACTGCGCTGCTGGAATGTCCAAGTCGAGTTCTTCTCGGAAGTTGCCCAGAATAGTCAATGACATGAGCGAATCGACACCCAGGTCCGCCAACAGTGTAGAGTCAGTGAGCTGAGAGATGTCGACGCCAATCTCATCAGCAATGATCTCGAGGGCCTTCTGAACGAGGCCAGAAGCAGAGCCGACAGGCGACTCTGTTGGCTCGGGAGGTGATGCTGTGCCTACGCTATGGCTAGTGGTAGATGGGGGAGTGAGAACGACGTGTTTGACGGGCTCGGGAGCAATGTGCTTGACAGCGCCGTGCTTGGACTTGGCACCAGAAGGCTTAGGTAGAAGCATCTCGAGTACCTTGCGAGCGACCTTCTTGAAAGTAACACCGCCACAGATACCGATGATCTTACCATCACGAAGAACATGGACATCGCCACTGTAAGTCGAATCATCAGAGCCAACCGCCTGCATCTTGACGTATGTCTGATACTGCACGTCACACTGGTAAGGCTCAACCAAACGAAGAGTCCGCCAGCCATGATTGATGTAGACATGATCATCAAGGTCCAGGCTATCACTGCAGTTCATGATGAAGCCAGTGATGTGACCCAAACTGTCGCAGCAGTACGGGTTGAGCGCGAAAGTGTCTTTGCCCGAGGGCATTAAGACCTTGCCTGTTCCTTCGAGGCCTTCACTGTCAAACCAGACCTGCTCGATACCTTGGAACGCAGGCCCATACTGGACCGAGTTGGAGAAGATCTTATACAAGAGACCACGACGCATCATGTGAGCAGAACCATCACTGGCGCCTTGGACGAGCTGCTTGATGCCTCGCTGGATCAGGTACGCGTTACTCTGCCAGTTTTCGCGGTGAGAATTTGGGTTCTCGACCGCGACATCGCAGACTGCATGGAGAGTGGTCTGCTTTCCGTTTGCAACGACGCTGAAGATGCGGATTGAACCGTGCATAGCGGTCCAGTCCATATCGAGAGCTGCTCGGAACAGCTGAGGGCCAGTCTCTCCAACGATGAGAGCCTTCTCGACAGCCATGTTGTTGATGGAAGGTAGGTTCGTGTGCGCATCGAGACCGTGATTCTGGATGAGGTGCTTGGCGAGGGTGAAGACGATATCAGCGAAGAGAGTCTAAAAATCGTAAAGTCAGTAACAGAATCTAGTATAAAAGAGAGAGTACTAACAGAAGGAGCCATAGTCAATCCGTTGACACGATGGTTCTGCGCAATGGCCAAGAGGGACGGGTCATGCATGTCAGACTCAACCGTGATGGAGCTTCTCTTGTCACCATGAACCTGCTCAATGACATTATGCACTGAATCACTCAGCCTCAGTGCCCTAGTCTGCGCAACTGCACCAACCGGACCATTCTCAACGGGAACGTCACCCTTGGTGAGACACCAGCTGTACTTGTACTGCATCCAGTAGTTGGCAAGCTGCCAACTATACTTGGGGAGCTGAAGAACATTGCGAGAAGAAGCAAAGTCACGATGGTACTCGTCCCAATTGACAGAGAAGCCAGCCAGATGCAAAGCGCAAACTGAATCTGCGAGAGTCTTGAAATGGTCCTCCTTGCGGCGGAGAGAAGCAAGGCACCGGAAGTCTTGGCCGATGATTGACTTGACCATTCGCGTGAGGATGGGGTGGGCTCCGATCTCGATACAAATGCCGCTTCGGTCCATGATGCCTTTCGATTCAGCCATCTTGATAGCACCGAGGAAGTCAACTGTCTCGCGACAATGTCGTCTGATGTATTGAGGACCGAGGGTATCGCTAGTGAGTAGCGTGCGCAGAAGAGGAGAGACGATAGGAAGCTTGGGTTCGTGGAACTCGACTTGGGATGCCAGGTCTTCGAGGTCATCGAGAATGGGATCAACCTGAGACGAGTGGAAGGCAAACGGAATCTCCAACTTGTGAAGCTTATAGCCAGCTTGAGTCAACTTCCCGCAAAGCGTCTCAATGTCCGCGTTGGGACCACTAAGGACAGTGTCTTCAGCGCCGTTAACACAAGCAATCTCAACGTTTAAGTCAGATGAGATGTGCTGCCTCAAATCATCAGCTGCCGCTTTGACAGCGACCATGCCATGCGTATAGGCAGTACAATGCTTATCCAGTAAGGCTGCCCTGTGACCACAGAGGAAGATGGCATCGTTGACGCTAAGAACACCAGCGATCTGAAGAGCAGCATACTCACCCAGGCTGTGTCCAATAACATACTGGGGAGCAATGCCGAGGCTGATCCAGAAACGGGCGAGTGCGATCTGGATGATGCACGTTCCGAGCTGCACGACAACTGCAGAGAGATCCTCAACGGGCGTTGTGCCGTGGATGAGTGGGAGAACGGATGGGAGACCTTGAAGAGTGGCGATGGAGTCAAGCTGGTGAATGTCCGATCGGAAAGATGAGAAGCTCTTGTAGTACCCAATAGCCATGGCAGTCTCCTGCGCTCCCTGGCCAGTGAACAAGAATCCGACCTTGGGCGACACTGCAGGGATGCCCTTGACCTGCCCAGCACCGGCAGCAGCCTTGAGAAGAGACTTCCTCAAGTCATCAAGACCGTTGGTGACAAACGCAACCCGTCTACTGTGGTGCACACGTCTAGCAGTAGTGGTATATGAGAGCTGAGAAAGAAGCTCACCCTCCGGAGCCCAAGAGTTGGCGATGAAAGCTTCAAGAGCCTTCAAGTTCTCCTCCAAAGCCTTGGTAGATCGCGCCGAAACAGCCACAACATGCTCAGTACGAGCATCCCCATCCTGATGCTGTCGTGCTGGATGAGCAGCAGGACCATCCTCAAGCAGCAACGAAGTGTTTCCACCAGCAGCAGAGAAGTTGTTCACCAACACCCTGCGCTTACCGCCCTCGGGTCGAGACCAATCCACGCTATCCTTCAGAGCAATGCGCACGCCACGATGATCCAAGTCTTTCGGAAAACCTTGATTGATCTTGGTCTTGATGCCGCAGTGCGGAGGGATCGTGTTCTTCTGCATCATCAGCAACACCTTGATGATGGCGAGTACTCCAGAGGCTGATTCAGCATGTCCGACGTTTGCTTTGACTGAGCCGAGATACAAGCTCTTATCTCGTGGACGGCTGTGATCGAAGGCGAATGAGTTGAGGACTGAGCGCATCTCGACTGCATCGCCGGCTTGGGTCCCTGTTCCGTGCATCTCGACGTAACTAACATCGTGAGGATGGATACCGGTCTCATTCAGCAGCTTCTTGAAGAGGTACTCCTGGGCGTCTGCGAGAGGCCGAGTGATAGAGACAGACTCTGCTGAGTGGTTGGTGTGTGCTCCCAGGATGACTCCAAAGATTGGATCACTGTCCGCGATAGCATCGGGGAGGCGTTTGAGAATCAAGGTGCCAATTCCATCAGCGCGGCAGTAACCATCCGCACCGTCGTCAAAAGCCTTGCAATTTCCAGTGCGAGAAAGGAAATGACCGCGATCGAGGCCTGCAAAGTTGTCCGGGTTCGTCATGACATTGGTCCCACCAGCAATCGCGGTATCACAATCCCGATTCTTCAACGACGTGATCGCAAGATTGATCGCAGCAAGACTCGAAGAGCAAGCAGTATCAACAGCAATACTCGGGCCGGTGAACTTGAAGAAGTAATTGACCCTGCCAGGGATAAAGGCACGATTTGCTCCGGGAATGTAGTATGTATCAACATCCTGCGAGGAGTTCACCTCGCCCCAATCGTTACTCGTAGTACCGTAATAAACGCCCACGCGGTTCCTCTGGGTTGAGGGCGTTCGGTCCGGCACGACACCAGCCATCTCTAGAGCTTCATAAGCTGTGAGCAGGGCAAGTCGCTGAGCTGGATCAGTCTGCATGGCTTCCTTGGGCGACATGTGGAAGAACTGAGTATCGAAGTAGCCTGCAGATTTTAACCAGCAGCCGTACTGGACTTGACTAGTGTTCTTGCGCTGGCCAGTGGGATCGTAGTGGTCACGAGCAAAACGCTCTTCTGGGACTGGTTTGTGGACGTCGAGGCCGCGGATCAGAAGATCCCAGAACTCGTCGAGGTTGTCGGCTTCTGGGAATCGACCGCTGAAACCGATGATGGCAATCTTGTTCTCGTCGCCAGGAGCAAGGTGGGGTTCTGCTTGATCTTTGGCCAGGCTCTCAAGTGTTGGTCCCATGCGTGTTGTGGCTCCTCTCTTGGCCAGCCAGTCAGCGAGACTGTAAACAGTTGTTTGGGCATTGACTGGTATCAAGGTAGCTTCAGCGCCAGAAACGGTTTCGACTAAAGCGTTGGTGACGAGATCCATGCGGATTTGTTGAGATAGTGCGCTGCTCAAAACGTTCTTGAGGAGGTTCCCGAAAGGCAATTGGTCTAAGCGAGATCCGGAGGCGCAGGAGATGATGGGAATGAGCATCTTGTTCTCTTGGAACTCAACGTCTTCGAGGATTGATGCGAGGGCATGTTCGAGGCTGGCCTCTGAGTATGCTGACGAATTATGGTAAGGACCATAAATGGGAGCTGGATATAACCTCTTTCCAGAGAAAGCATCGCAAGCCTTCAGTGACTCGAGGATGGATGGGGGACCGCTGATTGTTGTGAAACCAGGCCCAATGGCGCTGATGTAGGGGCGCGTACTGGATGTAAGATTCTGGGACAAGAATGAGTTTTACTCGTATTTGCAGCCTGGAGCTATCAAACTTACCTTGTCTTTGGAGAATTCTTGTAGAGCTTCTGAAACGAGCTCTTCCTGATTCGAAGATAGAATCATAGACCAGCTCGAAGGTGTCGAGTACCCAAGGTTCTCGGCTCTTCTGCGAACGTGCATTCCAAGTCGAAAGGCAACTGTCGCAGCTTCAACTCCCAGTCTCGAGATCTCGAAAACATCTTTGGCACAGCTGACAGCAGCGGCTGCAATGCTACCAGTGCAAATGCCGAGTAGCAATGACGGAGTTGCCGGTGGATGTTGCTTGTCCGAACGAGCCAAATAACTTGAATCTCATCAGCAAACCTAGAACTTCCTCATTCTCATATGACTTACTCAATGTAGTATCCAATCTCATAAATGCACACAAAAGCACTATCCAGTGCCGCATGAGGCTCACTCCTCCGAACGCCCTCCAAAAGCAAACTCAAGCTCTCAGCCTCGGGAATTGATTTTCTCTCTAAAGACGAGAGCGAAATAATCTCTCTTCGCACAGCCAAAAACGCCTCGCCGAGAAAAGAAGTCAAAAGCGCATTATCTTTCACGCGCACAAGGGCTTGCAATTTATCAAGAACGGGCGTGCTCTGATCGCCAAAGACATACACATCTGCTGAGGACGCCATCGTGAAAGAATGGCAAAAATAATCGCTGTTGAAAGCAGTAATACAATGTGCAATATTTCGTCTGTCTTGGCTGTTTTCTTGCCAAGATGTATCTGGCTTATACTGTAGAGGTTTCAACCTGCATCCATCCTTTTTTGGTAATTCGTAAAGGGCCTGGTAGACGAGCTAGTTAGTGTTGGGTCCGCGCTTTTGCGAAAATGTCCGTAGTGGCTTGCATGGGTGGGCCAGAGGCAGTATAGCGGCTAATTACGCCACGAAGGGTCAGATCAGAGATGGAGCTCCGAAGAGGTCCGAATTCTTATCTGGCAGGGGAAGCTGAAACGGGTAGGGTGGCGTAGTAGGTGCCGTGAACCGAGGACGAATGGAGTCAAGAGAAGAGCCACGCAGTAAATGCACTGATGCATGGCCAACTGGACTCTGTACCCGGATGGTGACTCGAAACTCGGCACTTGCATAGACTCCTATTGATTTTATTACCGTAGCAATCCAACAATCTGTGGCCTTGAGGCTTGATTCCTAGAATTGAACTTGGTCTGGTCTTATGGAATGACTGAGTTGAATAACCATGTCCAAATCTCCTAAGGAACTCCATAGATAGTGTAGATTATAGATTATAAGGAGATGTATGGTTCCACTAGTTGAGCATCATTCATACGATCTACGCAATGACTCAAATGAGTGAGGAGAATGAGCGAGCAACATATGACATAGATTTATATCAAATGTTCTGTAGAGAGGCTATTCTAAGAGCCAACCTCAACGACTCCAGTCGCTGCCTGCACTGGATTCCGAAGTCCCACAAACTCATTTCGCTGCTCAGACTCCTTGATACTCGCAGCCTGTTTACTCTCCTTCTCTTCCGCCTCCTTAACCTCCTTCACCACCCTCTGTCGTCTCGCCATCTCTGCTCGCGCCCCCTCAACAGCCTTGTTATAAAGATGCCCTCTAGCCGTAAGCTCAACATCTTCAAGATACGGCGCAGCAGAAAGTGCCATAAACGCACGCAAAAGCCAGTCCTCGTTACTAAGCTTCAACATGTCCTTTACCAGAGCAGTCGCAGGTCCAGGAGTGCAAAGCAGTGCCTTTCCAACCATTTGGGATCTCTCCAGGGCTGTTGTGGCTGGCTGTGCGCGCTCTTGAGCATAGCTTGCAAGTATGGACTTGACGACCTCACTAGAGAGCTTTTCACCTGGCTGGCTTGCCTTCCGCGCTGCCATTAGCTTGTTGACGAAGACGGCACAGGACTCTATGGCCTGATTGGCGCCCTGTCCGCCAGCCGGTGTAGTCTTGCAAGCTGCATCGCCAACAATCACAGCGCGATCGGTGTGCCATCCCTTCGCGACACCTTCCTCAACGCCAATCTTGACCGCCACTACACGGTTCTTGTAGATCTCACCAAACTTGAGCTTTGGAGTGACCTGTGTGTGAGCAACACTCAGGCACAGAGCCTCGGCTTCAGCTTCAGTGTATCGTGGCGCCTGAGATAGCGGGACGTTCTGGTTGAGATTCTCAAAGACAAACCAGAATACAATTCCTTCTTTACCGGTGAAGCCAATGACTGTTTGGTTCTCTCGGTAGACGGCGAAGCGTTCACCGGGGGCTATGCCTTCGGTGGGCGCTGACATGCCATAGACTGTAGAGCAGGCAACGCTGATGTCTGGGCATGAGTTAGTAAAGTTTCATGGAGATCAAGTAGATTCAGAACCTACAGTCATCTGCAGTCAATGGTTCAGGCAGCTTTGAGTCGATGTGTGTGCGTACAGCACTGCGTACGCCATCAGCACCAACAACGATGTCTGCTGTGAGGGACAAGCCATCCGTAGTTATAACAGTGACATGATCCTCGCTCTCCTCAATTGAAGCAACGCGTGCTGAAGTCCTGACACATTCTGTGCGCTGAATGTGTCGAACCATGATAGGTAGCAGCTTGCGGCGCTCAATAAAGGCAACAGGGTATCCGATCCTAACACGTGCGCCATTAGCCAACCGGTAAGATAAACAGAATTCAATTATACTAACTTGTCACGATATTGGCCCATGGCGTCAGAGTCATTCATCAAGTTCCCCTCGCTGTCGTAAGAGAACCACTTCTCAAGCGGAATAGTAGCCTCCTCAATATCCTCTACGAGGCCGAGCTGGTCAAGAATACGGAGGCCATTTGGCTGCAGACCAATACCAGCGCCTCTATCAGACTCAAGAGTATCGCGACCCTCGAGGAGGATATAGCTGATGCCGAGTTTCTCGAACATCAGCGCGAGGGTGACTCCAGCGATTCCACCTCCAGCGATGATGACTTCATAATGCTGGTTTGGTTCAGCCATGGTGATAGTAAGATGGAGTAGAATATTCTTTGAATTACAGTTGCCTCGGTTTACGGGCATTCAGAAGGGATAGAGCATCCTTTAGGGCGATGTTGTTTATTTGAGTAGGCAGCGCCTCACTAGTGTAGCTTATGCGTAAGCACCGGCCGAAGATATCCGAATTTTAAAAGTTGCCTCATTCACGCATGGTGAAACACGCGGAAATCGGAGGACTTCGGACTTCCTAAACAGGTAGGACGCTGCAGTTCCTCTGTTGTCCACTATTGTAGTTGTACACAAATGGCACCACTTTATAGACCTGATAAGCCTCTGGGAATTTCCATCTTCTCAGCATCATCTCATCAAACAGCAATTCAACATTATCTTCCTCGTCTTGACATTTACAAATTACATCGCCCAGCATGGTTTCAAACGGCATTTCTAATGGTACCAATGGTACGAACGGTACTACTACTAATGGTACCAATGGTGTCAATGGACATGCTGCCCTGTCACCCCTGGAGGTCTTAGTCCAAGATCTTAACAAGAACACCACCACATTGAACGGGTACCTCCGCGCAAACAAACTTCCCGAGCCTAGCTTCGAGCGGGATGCACCCATCATCAACCTATCTCCTGATGCGCCCGAAGAGGCACAAGTTGCTAAGGAGAAGGTGCTCGATAGTGCGTTGCAAATCTTCCAGCTTGTCTCTGGACCTGGCGAGTACTTGCAAAACGTCATCACAGGGGTAAGTACTCCGCCACAAGCATTCTTTGCAGTTTTGAATGACCATTGTAGTATCATTACATGGAAATACTCCGATGGATGAGCCACTTCAAGGTTTTCGAGCTTGTTCCCTTGGAGGGCAAGATCTCATACACAGAGCTGGCCTCCAAAGCTGGCGTAGCTGAGCTACGGCTCAAGACTCTTGCCCGCATGGGCATGACGAACCATCTTTTTGCCGAGCCTGAGCCTGGCTTCATCGCCCACTCAGCAACCTCAGCTGCTCTGGTTACCAACAACAGATTCTCTGATCAGAGGGTGTGGATGACAAGCATCATTGCCCCAGTCATTGCATCTATGGTAACTGCGCATGAGAGATGGCCTGACAGCACAGCTCCCAACAAGGCAGCTTTCAACGCTGCGTTCAACACTGATCTCCGCATGTATGAGTACATTGCTAAGCAGCCTGATGTTTACAAGCTCTTTGGTCGTGTCATGGATGCGATTGCGACTAGCCCCAAGAGTGACTTGAAGCATCTTGTTAGTGGCTTTGACTGGGCAGGACTTGGCAAGGCCGACGTTGTCGATGTAAGTCTCCCCTTCGCCCTACCACGCTGCAGTTGCTAACTTGTCTCGTGAAGATTGGAGGCAACATCGGTCACAGCTGCGTGAAGCTAGCCGAGGCCTTCCCCGATCTCAACTTCATCATCCAAGACATCCCCCACGTCGTCGAAGAAGGCGCCAAAGTCATCAAGGAGAACAACGAGGCCAGCATCGCCAACCGCATCCAATTTCAAGAATACGACTTCTTCCAGAAGCAACCAGTCGTCGGCGCGGATATCTACCTCTTGCGCCAGATCTTTCACAACTGGGATTTTGAGAACTCTGTAAAGATCCTCAAGAACACGGTTGAGTCTATGGGCCAGAACTCTCACGTGTTGATCATGGACTTTGTGGTGCCTGAGCCTGGCACCGTCTCGGCTGTGAACGAGCGTGTTCTTCGATCTCGCGATGTGGGCATGATGCAGTTGTTTAATTCGCTTGAGCGAGATCTTGAGGGCTGGAAAGCGATTTTGGAGGCGGTGGACTCGAGGCTTAAGATTAATGCTGTCAACACGCCCTATGGTAGCTTCATGTCGGTGATTGATGTTGTTCTAGGGTAGGGGGTTAATAGATTTAGTTACACGACTTTAGCCAGTCCATCCATATTAGAAATACGATAAAATTGATGCCGTTTTCTTATTACTATAACTCATTACGTTTCAATTATTTAGTTGAGTGATGGCTTTTGTCTACTTGGAATTGTTGCGAGCACTGATGCGGACCATTGCCAGTACTCATCCAGCACTGTCGATTCAAAGGCTTGCACGTAGCTGAGCTCAGCCAAAAATGACCGTGCTTCAAAGTTAGTCGATATCATGTGCATTAGTATCTGCACACTAAAAATGTTGAGTTTATTATCATCTGAACTTAATTGAAATACAGTTCGTCCCATAATCGCGCGAACTGACGCTTGGTGACGACTGACAACCAGGGATTGCCATGTTCAGATACTCAGATCGCCAACATGAAGTCTTGCCAGATTCGGACATGACACATTCCAGGGGTTGACCCAAGCGAACCAATCGCGAGTCGTGCTTATGCGATTATGCGAGATGGCGATACTCCACACACGCGTCTTCGGCCTGCTTACCCGAGACTTGAGCGACGCGACGATCGTTGAGGATGACGCTGAAGTTCGGAAATCTCAGCAATTACTGGCGGACATCTTCGGACCTTAGATGTGAGTACATAAACGCTGATACGTCAACACACTCTTCTTCACCGAAACAAGCTCCAGCTGCCCTACCATTCCATCCTACTGCACTGTACCTGTACCACCTTCACTGACACCCTGAACCATCCCTGCTTATCTCGCTCACTCACTACCATGCCATCTCCACATTTCTCCAAAGTCCTCGTCTTTGGTGCAACCG